GAAGAAGGGTTACCCATAAATTTATTAGGGTATAGAAATAAGATTTGGGTATAGTAGGTTGGGCCTGAATTACATAGGTCAGGATCCTATAAAATACCCAGTAAGAGTGATTCAATAGTCAGTCTTTAGGGTTAGCTTTAGGGATCAAGGCAGGGGGTTGGGGTTCAGAAGTAAGGGTAAGGGGTGCAGCAGGGGGCTCAGGGCAGGGGTTTGGGCTGCAGGTTCCGGCCCGGCACTGCTTACCTTGAGTGGCTCCGGGGTGGCAGCAGTGTGCAGCGGGGCTAAGGCAGGCTCCCTGCCTGCCCTAGCCCCATGCCACTCCCAGAAGCAGCTGGAATCATGCCCCTGCGGCCCCTGGGGGAGGGGGTGCAGAGGGCTCCAGGTGCTGCCTTCACCTGCGGGTACCTCCCCCAAAGCTCCCATTGGCCACAGTTCCCCATTCCCAGCCAATGGGAGGTGCAGGGGGCGATGCCTGCAGGCGAGGGCGGTGCGCTGAGCCCTCTGCTTCCCCTCCTCCCCCCCCCCCCCGGGGCTGCAGGGATGTGGTGCTGGCCACTTCTGGGAGCGGTGCGGGGCCAGGGCAGGCAGGCAGCCTGCCTTAGCCTTGCGGCGCCACAGGGGTGGCAATCCCTGTAGTCCACAGGATTATTTTGCTATCTATTATATCCTACTAATCCAGCCAGCAGTATCAATTAATATGTTTCTTTTCTTAAATTAATCCATTTTATTCTTATATTTTATCAGTATGAATTCCTTGGAATTTAGGATGTGTTGAGGCATGTGTTTCCTAATAATAAATTTTGCTGAAATGCTGAAATGGAAGAAGCCTACTGGCCTGTAAGATCCGGTAAGATCTGCTATATAGCAAAAAGTATAATCAGTTATAACTATGTCAGCATAAAATGTGGCAGCCTTTGGCACAGATAAGAATGGTCCCTGAACTTTGGGGAACCAAAGGGAGGAACTTTTATCCACATCACATCACAGGTTTATCTGACTTCTGCAACCGGTTGGTAACTGCAGAGTATACCACAACTTGGAGGTCATCAAGAGAGCCGAGGTTGGCAGTTTTGGAATGAGATAATCCTTATTAATATATTTAGAAAGTAAATGTCATAATTCACTAACCTATAGAAGAAGGGTACCCATAAATTTCTTAGGGTACGGAAATAAGATTTGGGTATAGTAGGTTGGGCCTGAATTACATAGGTCAGGATCCTATAAAATACCCTGTAAGAGCGATTCAATAGTCAGTCTTTAGGGTTAGCTTTAGGGATAAATTTTACCCTTCTAAGTTCTAAGCTCTATCTATCTATTCTATCTTCTATCAGCTCAGCTTATGCAGTATAGTATAACTACTCAACATTCCTAATCATTGAGGAAGCCAGCACCATTGCGTAATTGGGCATGCCAGGAGTGAGGCTGGTCCTTCATCTCCTATTACCGGGTCCTCAGGAAGGGTGTGAGTATGTTAGGTTAAGGTACTTATAACAGAGATGGTACCACCAGGAGTTTTGGAATTCTTTTTCTGTTTTGCAGTTATAAGTTTCATTGCATTTCTTATTTTTATGTTAATTTCAATAAAGGTTTTATCAATTTGGTATTGTCCTCAGAGTACGTGTTCTTGCCAAACACCCCAAGAATCCTCTCCCGATATAGAACTCTCTGAGTTCTTAAACTCTGTAGTCTGAATTGGATAAGAACCTATAAATCTTCTGGTTCGATGCAATCAGTGGCGAGCCATAACAACTAACCCATCAAATTCAGGTCAACATCCCACAGGCCGGATCCAAAGCCCTGATGGGCTGGATCTGGCCCGCGTGCTGTAGTTTGCCCATCCCTGCCTTAACCCCTGGGACAAGGGTGACAGGATTAAGGAAACTCCCCTAGCCTCATTTGCATCGAAGATGGAACAAGGAGGCATCTTCATTAGCATACAGAATGGAGAATGGAGATTCCAAGACAAGAACCGCACGGAACTCTGGGACCAGAAAAGCGGGGAAGCACTGCATGATGGGGGAATCTCTGCTCCAGATGTTAATAAACCCATGCCTGCACACACCCAGCTCAGTAGTTATCAGACCAATTCTAGTAATAAATCCTTTATTGGTATCCAAAATAGTGAAGCTCCCAAATTGCATTGTGAGCTCCCTCCAAGGAACACCACCCATAGCCAGGAATGATCAGTTCCTATTGTCTACAAAACAACTTTGGTATACTCCCTTGAGCCATCAGTTTACACATAAACAAATCTAGTGTTCTCCCTTGAGCCATTATTCTTTCCCTACAAAACCCCCTGTCCATGCTCAAGTAAGGGTATGTCTACACTACGAAATTAGGTCGAATTTATAGAAATCAGTTTTTTAGAAATCGTTTTTATATATTCGAGTGTGTGTGTCCCCACCGAAAATGCTCTAAGTGCATTAAGTGCATTAACTCGGCGGAGTGCTTCCACAGTACTGAGGCAAGCGTCGACTTCCGGAGTGTTGCACTGTGGGTAGCTATCCCACAGTTCCTGCAGTCTCCGCTGCCCATTGGAATTCTGGGTTGAGATCCCAATGCCTGATGGGACTAAAACATTGTCGCGGGTGGTTCTGGGTACATATCATCAGGCCCCCGTTCCCTCCCTCCCTCCGTGAAAGCAGCAGCAGACAATCATTTCGCGCCTTTTTTCTTGAGTTACCTGTGCAGACGCCATACCACGGCAAGCATGGAGCCCGCTCAGCTCATTGTCACCGTATGTCTCCTGGGTGCTGGCAGACGTGGTACTGCATTGCTAAACAGCAGCAGCAACCCATTGCCTTGTGGCAGCAGACAGTACAGTAGGACTGGTAGCCATCATCGTCATGTCCGAGGTGCTCCTGGTCACGTCGGCCAGGAGCGCCTGGGCAGACATGGGTGCAGGGACTACATTAGAAGTGACTTGACCAGGTCATTCTCTTTAGTCTTGCAGTCAGTCCTATTGAACCATCTTATGGTAAGCAGGCAGGCGATATGGATTGCGAGCAGTCCTATTGTACCATCTTCTGCCGGGCAGGCAAGAGATGAGGATGGCTAGCAGTCCTATTGTACCATCTTCTGCCAAGCAGCCATGAGATGTGGATGGCTTGCAGTCCTTCTGCACAGTCTGCCGCCAGCCAAAGATGTAAAAGATAGATGGAGTGGATCAAAACAAGAAATAGACCAGATTTGTTTTGTACTCATTTGCTTCCCCCCGCCCCCCATCTAGGGGACTCATTCCTCTAGGTCACACTGCAGTCACTCACAGAGAAGGTGCAGCGAGGTAAATCTAGCCATGAATCAATCAGAGGCCAGACCAACCTGCTTGTTCCAATAAGAACAATTACTTAGGTACACCAATGCTTATTGGAACCCTCCGTGAAGTCCTGCCTGAAATACTCCTTGATATAAAGCCACCCCCTTTGTTGATTTTAATTCCCTGTAAGCCAACCCTGTAAGCCATGTCATCAGTCACCCCTCCCTCAGTCAGAGCAACGGCAGACAATCGTTCCGAGCCTTTTTTCTGTGCGGACGCCATATCAAGGCAATCATGGAGGCCACTCAGCTCAGTTTGGCAATTAGGAGCACAATAAACACCACACGCATTATCCAGCAGTATATGCAGCACCAGAACCTGGCAGAGCGATACCGGGCGAGGAGGCAACGTCAGCGCGGTCACGTGAGTGATCAGGACATGGACACAGATTTCTCTCAAACCATGGGCCCTGCCAATGCATGCATCATGGTGCTAATGGGGCAAGTTCATGGGGTGGAACGCCGACTCTGGGCTCGGGAAACAAGCACAGACTGGTGGGACCACATAGTGTTGCAGGTCTGGGACGATTCCCAGTGGCTGCGAAACTTTCGCATGCATAAGGGCACTTTCATGGAACTTTGTGACTTGCTTTCCCCTGCCCTGAAGCACATGAATACCAAGATAAGAGCAGCCCTCACAGTTGAGAAGCGAGTGGCAATAGCCCTGTGGAAGCTTGCAACGCCAGACAGCTACCAGTCAGTCGGGAATCAATTTGGAGTGGGCAAATCTACTGTGGGGGCTGCTGTGATGCAAGTAGCCAACGCAATCAAAGATCTGCTGATATCAAGGGTAGTGACCCTGGGAAATGTGCAGGTCATAGTGGATGGCTTTGCTGCAATGGGATTCCCTAACTGTGGTGCGGCCATAGATAGAACCCATATCCCTATCTTGGCACCAGAGCACCAAGCCGGCGAGTACATAAACCGCAAGGGGTACTTTTCAACAGTGCTGCAAGCTCTGGTGGATCACAAGGGACATTTCACCAACATCAACGTGGGATGGCCGGGAAAGGTACATGACGCTTGCATCTTCAAGTACTCTGGTCTGTTTCAAAAGCTGCAGGAAGGGACTTTATTCCCAGACCAGAAAATAACCGTTGGGGATGTTGAAATGCCTATAGTTATCTTTGGGGACCCAGCCTACCCCTTAATGCCATGGCTCATGAAGCCATACACAGGCAGCCTGGACAGTAGTCAGGAGCTGTTCAACTACAGGCTGAGCAAGTGCAGAATGTGCATTTGGACGTTTAAAGGTGCGCTGACGCAGTTTACTGACTCACTTAGACCTCAGCGAAACCAATATTCCCAGTGTTATTACTGCTTGCTGTGCGCTCCACAATATCTGTGAGAGTAAGGGGAAGATGTTTATGGAGGGGTGGGAGGTTGAGGCAAATCGCCTGGCCGCTGGTTACGCGCAGCCAGACACAGTTAGAAGAGCACAGGAGGGCACAGTACGCATCAGAGAAGCTTTGAAAACCAGTTTCATGACTGGACAGGCTACGGTGTGAAAGTTCTGTTTGTTTCTCCTTAATGAAACCACCCGCCCCTTGGTTCACTCTACTTCCCTGTAAGCTAACCACCCTCCCCTCCTCCCTTCAATCACCGCTTGCAGAGGCAATAAAGTCATTGTTGCTTCACATTCATGCATTCTTTATTCATTCATCACATAAATAGGGGGATGACTACCAAGGTAGCCCAGGAGGGGTGGTAGAGGAGGGAAGGACAAGGCCACACAGCACTTTAAAATTTTACAACTTTAAAATTTATTGAATGCCAGCCTTCTGTTTTTTGGGCACTCCTCTGTGGTGGAGTGGCTGGTTGGCCGGAGGCCCCACAACGGCGTTCTTGGGCGTCTGGGTGAGGAGGCTATGGAACTTGGGGAGGAGGGTGGTTGGTTACACAGGGGCTGTAGCGGCAGTCTGTGCTCCAGCTGCCTTTGCTGCAGCTCAACCATACACTGGAGCATATTGGTTTGATCCTCCAGCAGCCTCAGCATTGAATCCTGCCTCCTCTAATCACGCTGCCACCACCTTTCAGCTTCAGCCCTCTCTTCAGCCCGCCACTTACTCTCTTCAGCCCGCCACCTCTCCTCCCGGTCATTTTGTGCTTTCCTGCACTCTGACATTGTCTGTCTCCATGCAGTTATCTGTGCTCTGTCAGTGTGGGAGGACAGCATGAGCTCAGAGAACATTTCATCATGAGTGCGTTTTTTTTTTCTTTCTAATCTTCACTAGCCTCTGGGAAGGAGAAGATCCTGTGATCATTGAAACACATGCAGCTGGTGGAGAAAAAAAAAGGGACAGCGGTATTTAAAAAGACACATTTTATAAAACAATGGCTACACTCTTTCAGGGTAAACCTTGCTGTTAACATTACATACATAGCACATGTGCTTTCGTTACAAGGTCGCATTTTGCCTCCCCCCACCGCATGGCTACCCCCTCAAACCTTCCCTCTCCCCATGACTAACAGCGGGGAACATTTCTGTTCAGCCACAGGCAAACAGCCCAGCAGGAACGGGCACCTCTGAGTGTCCCTTGAAGAAAAGCACCCTATTTCAACCAGGTGACCATGAATGATATCTCACTCTCCTGAGGATAACACAGAGAGATAAAGAACGGATGTTGTTTGAACGCCAGCAAACATACGCTGCAATGCTTTGTTCTACAGTGATTCCCGAGTACGTGCTACTGGCCTGGAGTGGTAAAGTGTCCTAGCATGGAGGATGCAATAAGGCTGCCCTCCCCAGAAACCTTTTGCAAAGGCTCTGGGAGTACATCCAGGAGAGCCGCGAATGCCAGGGCAAATTAATCCTTTCACATGCTTGCTTTTAAACCATGTATAGTATTTTAAAAGGTACACTCACCGGAGGTCCCTTCTCCGCCTGCCGGGTCCAGGAGGCAGCCTTGGGTGGGTTCTGGGGGTACTGGCTCCAGGTCCAGGGTGTGAAACAGTTCCTGGCTGTTGGGAAAACCGGTTTCTCCGCTTGCTTGCTGTGAGCTATCTACAACCTCATCATCATCATCATCTTCTTCGTCCCCAAAACCTGCTTCCGTGTTGCCTCCATCTCCATTGAAGGAGTCAAACAACACGGCTGGGGTAGTGGTGGCTGAACCTCCTAAAATGGCATGTAGCTCATCATAGAAGCGGCATGTTTGGGGCTCTGACCCGGAGCGGCCGTTCGCCTCTCTGGTTTTCTGGTAGGCTTGCCTCAGCTTCTTAAGTTTCACGCGGCACTGCTTCGGGTCCCTGTTATGGCCTCTGTCCTTCATGCCCTGGGAGATTTTGACAAAGGTTTTGGCATTTCGAAAACTGAAACAGAGTTCTGATAGCACGGATTCCTCTCCCCAAGCAGCGATCAGATCCTGTATCTCCCGTTCGGTCCATGCTGGAGCTCTTTTGCGATTCTGGGACTCCATCATGGTCACCTCTGCTGATGAGCTCTGGATGGTCACCTGCAGCTTGCCACGCTGGCCAAACAGGAAATGAGATTCAAAAGTTCGCGGTTCTTTTCCTGTCTACCTGGCCAGTGCATCTGAGTTGAGAGTGCTGTCCAGAGAGGTCACAATGGAGCACTCTGGGATAGCTCCCAGAGGCCAATACCATCGAATTGTGTCCACAGTACCCCAAATTCAACCCGGCAAGGCCACTTTAAGCGCTAATCCACTTGTCAGGGGTGGAGTAAGGAAATCGATTTTAAGAGCCCTTTAAGTTGAAATAAAGGGCTTCATCGTGTGGATGGGTGCAGGTTTACATCGATTTAACGCTGCTAAATTCAACCTAAAGTCCTAGTGTAAACCAGGGCTTAGTGTTCTGATGCCTGGATCCAAAATCTGCATAATTTCCACTGGGACTTGATCTTCTCCTGACTGATCATGCTCTGCCTGTCTCCAGCACTCTGGACTCTCAGCTACCACCACCACCTGGGACCCCCGATTGGTTCAAGCTTCACGGAGTGGTGAGAACCCAGCTCTCTCTCTAGGTATAGCCTTCTGGCCCTGACTTACGTGATCAGTTATAGTTTTCTAAACCTGACTTTTATAATCAAATTTAAGTTAGATTTAATATTATAACTCTTTTGTTTGTTTGGCTCCCCTATGGTTACTACCTGGCAATAAATAACTGTCATGATTAAGCTGGTTGCTTCTCCCTCTCTCTCTCTCTCTCTCTTCCCTCCCCTCGCTTCCCCCCCATGGGTGTTTTTTGGCTTCCCCATTCACTCTGCAGCAACCCGCCTTGTATCTAAGCTAAAGATCCCTGTGGGGTTTGCTCATCAAGTGGGTTACTACCAGAACAATTGTAAGGTGAAAGTGGGGATAGGGACATGCTGAACCTGGGACATACGAGGGTGGCGATTGAAAGTGCTGCTCGACCCAGCCTGCTCAGGTTGTTGGATCATATTAAAGAAGTTCTGTATTAAAATCACAAATGAGTTTGATTCCCCAGAGTTTAAATTCCAGGGTATTACTAATTAAGAGGTCTCTTGGTTTTTGGTACTGTTTCTCTCCCTCTATGTGTGAAACTTGCAAGCTGCTAATTGTGTTAGTACATTCTAAGACAGAGTCTATTCTCAAAGCAATTCAGAGAGAGAGACTCAAAGCAATACTCTAACAACAGAAACAGCACCCAGAGACTCCCCACCCTTTTGTTGTATTAACAATTGTGATTAAAATAGAGATAGAGGATGGATGTGGATGGATGCTTGGTGTGGATAATAACTGAATGATCAGGGAGGTGCCAGCCTAAGAATCCAGTGTCCATCGGCTGAAGAAGGCGTCAAGTGGAAATAACCAGAGGACCCCCCCGGAGGGCAGACTGGAATCCACCCAACAGCCTCAAGAATGGGAGAACCAAAGAACAAGATAACATCTTGGAGCCGTCAGGAATGTGCTATCTGCTGATTGATTCAGCAACAGCATGATGAAGCAATTCCCATAGACTGGCATAGGAAGAAATTCCTATAAAAATAGACTCTAAAAAGTGAGAACTTTGGGGTCTGATTCTGCAAACCAACTTCCAGGAGCATCAGACGAGCATCTGACAAGGCCCTGCTCCCTCCTCATGTCCAGGCCACCTGGCCAGTGGCTTGGCATGAGCAACTCTAAGGCTGGTAACTATGATAACAACCTTGCAGAACCTGTGTGTGTGTGTGTGTGTGTGTGTGTGTTTGTATGAATGAATGTGTGAATAAATATGAGATTGAATGGAATGTTATAACTATAACTAACTGCTTACTATGATTCTTTCTGTATTCACAGTAAATGTGGTATTTTGCCTTTTTCCCTTTAATAAGATCCTGCTGGTTTTTATTTTATTGGTATAACATTTTGGTGGAGAAATGCGAAAGGGGGAATATTGGTAAAAAACCTCAGTTATTGTAAATATTGGTGTGCACACCGCCAGCTCTAGTGAGCTAGGCATTTCTATTAGGTTAACCAGACCTGCTGGCCCCTGAGAAGTTAGCAAGGGACCTGCTGGCCTCAGAGAAGGTAGCAGGAAAAACAGATTAAACCAGACCTGCTGGCCTCCGAGAAGGTAGCAGGGGACCTGCTGGCCTCCGAGAAGGTAGCAGGGGACCTGCTGGCCTCCGAGAAGGTAGCAGGGAAAACAGATTAAACTAGACCTGCTGGCCTCCAGGAAGGTAGCAGGGGACCTGCTGGCCTCCGAGAAGGTAGCAGGGAAGAACAGGTTAACCGGACCTGCTGGCCTCCGAGAAGGTAGCAGGGAGAAATAGGTTAACCAGACCTGCTGGCCTCCGAGAAGGTAGCAGGGAGAAATAGGTTAACTGGACCTGCTGGCCTCTGGGAAGGTAGCAGGGGACCTGCTGGCCTCCGGGAAGGTAGCAGGGGAAAAACGCATAGATTAAGCTATGATTTCAGAATCTAGGCTGTGTCACTTGCTAAGTAATACCAGCAGTGACAAAGAGTTTGAAATATCCATGTTAAGATGTTTAAAAGAAAACAGGGTAAGCCAGTACCAGAGGGAGGAATGGAGTCAGAAGGAACTCCAACCTCACCTTTTGTTAAAGAAATTACACCTTTTAAACAAATCCTTCAAAAATTTGGGCACAGTCCTTAGACTAAACAAGCCCTAGCTGATGTCTGCACTATTTCGGACCTAGAGGATAGATTGGCTCAGTATATCCTCTTATATAAACCTTCTAGTGCTGCCAAAAGAGATGCAGCAGCAATTTGGTTGTTGTGAGAGGCATGTAAGGATTCTTCCCTCCGCTTGTCTTCATGTAAAGAGGAAAAGGCACAAACGGAAAAGGGAGCAGACAATTGGAAGGTGCTGGCTACAAATACCCAAAGCCAGCTGAAAATAGTGAAAGAGGCACTCCAGAAATACAAAAAGAGTGAAAAAGTTAACTCTGCAGAGGCTGGAGGGAGGCAGGTAAAGGGGGAGAAGGTCCTATGTACGGCACCCCCAGGCATAATTACAAAGTGATTAAGTGATGAAGTGAGCTGTAGCTCACGAAAGCTCATGCTCAAATAAATTGGTTAGTCTCTAAGGTGCCACAAGTCCTCCTTTTCTTTTTTTAAAGAGAAAAGAGAGTAAAAAAAAAAAGTTAACTCTGCAGAGGCTGGAGGGAATTAAGCAGTTAAACTTTGTATTTCACCCAAACAACTTTTAACCGAAAATGTTAAAAAGGAAAAGTGTTAGAGAAAGAGCATTCTTGGTTTCTTTGCAGCCATTCTGAAAGAAAAATGGGCCCTTTTCCAAAGGAATGTCTGTAAATTAGCCAGGCAAAAATAAACTATCTGATTAAAATCATTTGACTGGACAATTTAGTCAAATTTGATAAAAGAACATAAGAGGGTTCTATTGGAACTTAACTGCCTCAAATGTATAAAGGGAATGCAAGATGTAAAAAACAGAGCAGTGTGGAAGGGATGTTAAGGAAAAGAAAACGTGTATGTATCTGTCTGTGTGTGTGTAAATATGTAAAGTTCTAAGGACCAGTTAGTTTTGTTTTTGTTTTAAATAATGCCACTAAAAATCCATTTGACTCTTTAATTCAAAGTTGCAAAACTGACAGACCTTTTTGCTAGACACAGGTAATTAGTGTTGTTTGGCTTTGGGATTTGGCATTTAACCCTTAAAAGGTAACTCAATGCTTTACAAAATTTAAAATGTTTTTAAGTTGTGGCTGCAGCAGGGCAGTCAAAATCAGGAGAATATAAAAAAAATTTTTTGGATTCTTTTTGTTTGTTTGTTTTTTGTTTGTTTGTTTTTGTAACAAAATAGCAGATGAGAGTTGTAGTAAAAAAAAAAATTAAAAAAAGACAGTGCCTCTCTGAAGCAACAGCAGGGGTGAGGTGCACAAAACAAAAAGACAGGTTTCAGAGGAACAGCCGTGTTAGTCTGTATTCGCAAAAAGAAAAGGAGTACTTGTGGCACCTTAGAGACTGTGCCACAAGTACTCCTTTTCTTAAAACAAAAAGAAGCAATGTTAGAAACACTGAGTGTTAAAATGGCTCTGAGTAATCAGACTGTCACTTTGATAAAGGTACATGAAAACTCTGTAAGCAAAAAAAGAAATAGTGACACCTTATGTAAAAATGGATCTGGATAATGTTATAGAAGTTAAACTATGGAAGGAATGTGCATTTGTCCCAGAACATGTGCAGGGTATATTGTAGAAGGGGCAAAAGAAATGCAAACATACCATTCTACTTCATTAAAATGCTATTAGGGCTCCAAAGGGAGCCACAATAGGTTGGGTTTTCTTTTTCAGATTGCTGTGTGTTTTGGAAGCAGAAGTTAAAAGTAATCAAAACTCTGGTGAAAGTTGATTGTGTCCCTTTTAAGATAGACTCTCTGAGCTGCTGATGGCTTTAAATCCAAAAGCAGGAAGTTTCTGTGAAAATGCAAATTACCTAAATGATGAAGGAAAGAACTAGCAGCACAAAGGAGCTGCAGATAAAGGACATACCTGGTCAGCAAACAAATTGTCTAAATAAAAGGCATGGGATAACAAGATAATTTTAATAAATTTAATGATAATAAGTATCCCTGTAACAACGTATAGTGTGTATGATTTTTGGAAAAATCCTTTAAGGTCGTATGGTAATGATGCTTCTCAGTTATTACCTGTAAATAAAACTTAAAGCTTAACACAGCAGGAAAAACATTATAAACTTGGTCTGCTGTATAAGAAGGAAAACTCAGGGATTTAATGACTAAACAGTGGGATAATTTCCCCATAACCCTTAAAAGATAAAAGCCATTGAAACCTGGCCTGCCTATAGAACAAAAACAGGAAAATGTGGGGGCAATTTCTCTGTTTTGCCTGCAATCAGCAAGGGTATTTGTAAAAGAAATATTTTAAGCAATAATCTGCCACCCCAAAAGGGGTAGAAACATGTTCTTTTTGTCTTTCAGAAAATCAGGAAAAGCTGATGCCAGCTGAAAAGCAACCCAATACCATGAATCTACTGTCACAATAGAAATTGTGTTCTGTGTTCTGTGTTCTATGTTTGTTTTGTCTTGTTGCTAGCACTGTTGTGTGTTTAAAAAAAAAATACTGAAGACCTGCAGGAACTTAAAAATAAATTAAGCTTTCTGTCCCAGCTACAGGACAGCCTGATACAAAAACAAGTACATGCCAATGTAGACTTGGTCCAAATTGGTCTGGGTAACCTAAAAGGCCGATGGAATCTTTAGTAATGGCTTAATACTACCACATGGCTTATCCATAAGAAAAAAAAAATATTAGAAATAGGAAACTACACAGCCATAGCTATGGGATGCACTGAAATGCAGATACTTGCACTAGCTACTTTGGAACACAAAATGTTCTGGGTCATATTGGGAAATATTAAGGGTTTGATGCATTTGTTAAAAAAGAAAGGGATCATTGTTTGACACTTATCAATATGAATGGATGCAATATGTTTCCAGTATTGTAAACCAGACTTGTTAATGGGAGAAATTGTTGTCAAAATTGCACACCAACAGTCCCTGGAGGCAAAGGTATTGAAGGTTAACCCACTCCCCATATTACACATGGGATCCTTTTGGCTACCCTGGACCTTGAGCCAGTGGGCTGGGGAGGGAGGGAAGCTATTGGACACTAGAGGTTGTACCGAATGGACTCCTCAAAAGTGGGTGTGCCTCACCTTGCCTGTTGCCCCAGAACCTTGTAGTAAAGATACATCACTAGGATCATGGCATGAATTGGAATCACAAACTCAAATTGCCTCACAGTACTTTCTCTTGAATAGGCTACATAGAAAGTGACACTGACGATTATAAATCTTAGTGTCAAAAGGGGGATTATGTTGGATCATATTAAAGAAGTTCTGTATTAAAATCACAAATGAGTTTGATTCCCCAGAGTTTAAATTCCAGGGTATTACTAATTAAGAGGTCTCTTGGTTTTTGGTATTGTTTCTCTCCCTCTATGCGTGAAACTTGCAAGCTGCTAATTGTGTTAGTACATTCTAAGACAGAGGTGCCACAAGTACTCCTTTTCTATTCTCAAAGCAATTCACAGAGAAAGAGACTCAAAGCAATACTCTAACAACAGAAACAGCACCCAGAGACTTTCATGCCCTTTTGTTGTATTAACAATTGTGATTAAAATAGAGATAGAGGATGGATGTGGATGGATGCTTGGTGTGGATAATAACTGAATGATCAGGGAGATGCCAGCCTAAGAATCCAGTGTCCATCTGCTGAAGAAGGCGTCAAGTGGAAATAACCAGAGGACCCCCCGGAGGGCAGACTGGAATCCACCCAACAGCCTCAAGAATGGGAGAACCAAAGAACAAGATAACATCTTGGAGCCGTCAGGAATGTGCTATCTGCTGATTGATTCAGCAACAGCATGAGGAAGCAATTCCCATAGACTGGCATAGGAAGAAATTCCTATAAAAATAGACTCTAAAAAGTGAGAACTTTGGGGTCTGATTCTGCAAACCAACTTCCAGGAGCATCAGATGAGCATCTGACAAGGCCCTGCTCCCTCCTCATGTCCAGGCCACCTGGCCAGTGGCTTGGCATGAGCAACTCTAAGGCTGGTAACTATGATAACAACCTTGCAGAACCTGTGTGTGTGTGTGTGTGTATGTTTGTATGAATGAATGTGTGAATAAATATGAGATTGAATGGAATGTTATAACTATAACTAACTGCTTACTATGATTCTTTCTGTATTCACAGTAAATGTGGTATTTTGCCTTTTTCCCTTTAATAAGATCCTGCTGTTTTTTATTTTATTGGTATAACAAGGTGTACTCTGTTCCAGTGCGGTGCCCATGGCGTATGAGGGTGACACCTTGGAGGTGCTGCAAGACCCCAGCCCTGGGGAACCTAGGTCCTGCAGGATAGCTCCATTGAGAGGGAACTTGCAGCAGGGAGAAGTAGAGCTCCGTATGAGAACACAAGTGACACAGGCAGTAGATTGACAGAATTACAGAACCCGCCCCAGAAGAGTAAGCCTAATAAATGAGCGTACCCCAAAGTAACGGGCAAATCTGGTAACAGTTGCTCCGAAAGCAGGCATCCCACACCCTGCCCACTTTGTGTTTGTTTCTCTGCAGCATCTCATCCTGCTCTCGTCACTGCAGGGCCCAGGTGCAGTGGCCAGGTGCTCTCACCCCGGAGGTGCCTGCAAACCCTGGGCACCTTGTGGTCATACATTACTGACCTCAGGTCTGGGGTGGGGGGTCTCTCTTGCCCCTCCCCAGTGGAGCAGTGTCTGGGGCTGGATTAGTGTCCCCAGCACTCTGGGTTTGTATCCAGGGGCTGGTCGCAGCAGTGGGCCTGGTTCCAGGACGGGGGCAGTTTGGGACGGGCCTTAGTCCCCACGGCAAGTGCTGAGCAGGAGCTGAGGCAGTTCTGGCATCTGCCCAGACAAGCTTTACCTTAGTGAGCAGAGTTTCCCCTCTGGCCGGGCCACTCGCTGCCCAAGGCCACCTCTGGCGGAGTGGGAGCATGCCTGCGCTGCTGATGTGCAACACGTTACCAACATGACATGCGTGTGCACCCCATGTGATGATGCATGCTGCAGACACAGCTGGCCGGAAGGGAGTCGCTCATTCCCCAGCCCAGCTCGCCCACTTCTGTTCTCAAGTCAGGCTCTGGCCATTGGAGCTCTGGCAGCACTGTCCTCTCCCCTCCGTGGGGCCAGCCATAGCCGGTAACGTGACCTCACATACGTGTGTGCATGCAGGACTCCAGTGCACTAGAGCAGAGGGTCTGGTTGCCGGGTTGCCCCATCACCCCTGTCCCTGTCCCCCGCCGGGAAGCAGGACCCCATGGGGACAGCAGATCACTAACCTCACCAGCAGGGGGGATTGCAATCTACATGTCACCTGCCAGCATGGGGCAGAGAGGGTGCGAGGGGGGCCAAGGTGGCAGTGCAGTTTCAGAGCAGAGAGGGCACCAGGGCGCTGGTGTCATGTCGGGGCAGAGAGGGTGCTTGTGGGGGGTCGGTGCAGTGTCAGGGCAAAGGGAGGCTGGGGGGACTGAAGGCAACAGCACAGTGTCAGGGCAGAGGGGAGGCAGTGCAATGTCAGGGTGGGGCGGGGGGGATGGTGCAGTGTCAGGGCAGAAGGACGCTGGGGGGACACAAGGCAGTAGTGCAGTGTCAGGGCAGGGGGGGAAGTGGTGCAGTGGGAGGCCGGGGGGACCCAGGGTGGCAGTTCAGTGTTAGGGCGGGGGGGGGGGGGGCTGAGGGGCAGGGGGGCAGTTCAGTGTTATAGCAGAGGGGGGAGATGAGGGGCCGCGGGGGGCAGTGCAGTGTCAGGGCAGAGGGGGGGCTGAGGGGCCGCGGGGAGCAGTGCAATGTCAGGGCAGAGGGGGGGCTGAGGGGCCGCAGGGGGCAGTGCAGTGTCAGGGCGGGGGTGGGGGGGGCAGGGGGTCAGGACAGCGGTGCAGTGTCAGGACAGAGATGCACAGTGGTAGTTGCTGAGCGCTGCGCTCCACTTTCTCCCTTTGTTGAGCCGGGAAGAGTGAGATCCCCCAGCACAAAGCTGGACTGAGCCAAGATAATGCCTGTGCCCAGGGCTCCGGCTGGCCTGTGTGCCCGTCACTCAGGGCAACATCCTTCTATCTGACTGGAAAGCACTGGCTGCCCTGTGCCCTGCCCTAGGAGTGCCCCTTGGCTGTGAGGAGACCCCTGGCAGAGCCTGGCTGCTGGGCAGGCCTGGGCCCCTGGCCAGAGGGGTGTGGGGCTGGTAAGAGGTATGGGGCGCCGTTCGCTGAGTGATGTGTGCCTATATAATCCAGGCAGGCCCTTGGGCTGCGCACCCAGGCAGTGACCCCCACCCTAGAGTACAGCCACATGGAGCACCGTTGACAAGTGAGTTTTACTAGAGTCCATCACAATTCATAAATGACAGGTAGGCGGGCGCTCTGGGCCCGGCTGGGCCTGCCCCTCACCACACAGCTGGGAAGAGCTGGCCGTCTGCGTGTTCGCTGCCAGCGGCATCTCCGTTCCAGAGGCAGAGCTGGGCTGCTCAGTTTCCGGGCTGCGCTGCTGGGATCGCTGGTGGCACTGAGGTTCCCCTGGGCTGTCTGCTGGGGGGCTGCTGGGCAGCCTGCGTCGGTGGCCGTCTGGGAGGAGTGGGAAGAAGGACTTGCCCGTTTCCGCAGGCCCGGACTCTGCTCCTTTGCTTCTGAGAATCCGAAGAGCCAGGCTAGCGGGTCAGCGCTGCCGGTGAGCCCCTGGAGGTTGTGCTGCTGGTTGAACTGGGCTGTGATGTCCTGCAGTGACGCTGCATTGCCCTGCACCTTCTCAGGGCTGGGGAGTGCGACCCCGCTCTGGGCCACTTTCCCCTGTGCCCTCTGGAGTTTGTGAGGCTTGTTCTGGCTGCCCTGGCAAGGACATGGGAGCCCGCTGGACAGCGAGGATGGCTGGGCCAGCTGGCTAATGGACTGGACATACTCATCCAGCCCAGCCAGGGGCTCCTCGGCCTGCGCGTGGCTCCCTCCCACAAACAGCATCTCTCCTGTCTCACTGATTGTAGGCAGGTGGGTCACGGAGATCAGCCGCCTGGATCTCATGCTGCAAAGACAGAGAGAGAGAATGAGGCACTGGGCTGGCCACTGTCAGAATACCCCAGCCCCACCCCTTCTGTCACATCTGTTAATCTTTCCTCACTTCCCCCAGTGTAAATGCAGAATCTTTCCACTTACTCCGGATTTACCCTGCTGCCCTGAGAGCAGGGTCAGACCCAGTGACTGTGCATACCATGATCTGAAAAGACTCTTACATCCAGGAGATCCAGAGATTCCCAAGGCCAGAAGGGACCCTTGCGATGATCTAGTCTGACCTCCTGTGGAACACATGCTGGAGACCTGCCCCCCAATAATTCCTAGAGCAGAGTTTGTATGTAGAGAAACGTCCAGTCCTGATTTAAAAATTTTCAGAGATAGAGAATCCCCAATGTAGCTGGCTTACCCAGCCGCGCCAATGAACAGACAGCCCCACAGCTGGTCTTGCGTGCGTCTGGATCCCAAAGTGCCAGCTGCCAGGTTGGCGCGCACCATCATGAAATGCTCTGGTAATCCCAGATCCAGGCAACACACTGTCCCATCTAGTGACTGGGACACAGATACTCAATGAACCTGCTGCAGCCATGGATAGTGGATCTGGGAATTTCAGCTCAGCCAGCAGAGGCTTCTGCTTTCAGACTCAGGATGCCACTTTCAATGAGCTACCCAGGAGGCTGCCACCCCCGTGGGGGCAGAGGAAACTAGCTGCGTGAAAAACAACTAAGGCAATAAATTCTCAGCCACAGTTGGAGCCAGATGCCTGTTCGCGCAGCCAGGTTTGTACAAACACACAGCACAGCCAGAAGAAGCTCAGCATCCAGGACAAGGCTGGAGCAGGTGAGCAAACAATTTGCTTTTCAGTCTGATGCACAGTAGTGAAGTTGTTTGAATGCAAAGCGCCCATTCACCCAGACTGACAGGGAAGGGTTAACTCGGGGCCTGCCTTCCCTGTCCAGCTAATCTGGTTCTTTTCCCCATTCCACAAAGGTGATACTCCTGCCACTCAGCCACCTTTACACAAAGCACAGGGAGCAAAGAATCCTTAGCCCTGTCAAACTGGGGGAGTCCTTCTGTAACCCAGCTGGAGCCCAAGACAGCTTTGCCTCCTCAGTTGCGGCTGACAAAGGCGGGGGCGGGACCCAAAGCAATCTAGGCTTTGGCAAAGCTGATGCCCTTTCAGACTGGACGGTCCGGATCCCTGACTGTCCAGGCCAGTTAGCACTGAAGTAGACGGGCTTGTTCCCATGCCGCAAAATGGTGTTGGTTTGCCTATAGATTTGCACCTGGAGCCAGACAGGCTAGGTGGCTATTGTCTTTTTGATTCAAACTCCACAATGCCTGGGTTTTCAATCCGGCCTGGCTCGACGCAGCTTGGCCTTTACTCCTCAGCCAGCTGAGCTGTTAGGATACAAAGCAGTACAGTACTGAACACTAATCCCTCATTTTGCTACCACTGAGAAACCGCATCGTGTTACCTTGTGCGTGTGAGAAGTTGCTGTTTTCCTACGAAATGAGATCACAGTCTTTTAGCTGTGGAATGAAGTCCTTGAAACTGCCTCTGTTTGCTGTGAGGGACTGAGAGCTTTCTTTCCAACCCTGTGTTTGCTCTCACCCCACTATATAGCCTGGAGTAGTGTTTTAAATCACGGCCAGGATGTTGCTCAACAGCCCTGCTCCCTGTGCTTGAATTTATACCTTCCTGCCAGGGGCTATAACTCACTGCCAGCAAGTGCCTAAAATAGAAGCCGCAGTGAACAAGGCGAACTCAGGAAGGCAGAGGGGCATGGTGTCCTCATAGGAAAAACACAGGCTAGCAGAAGGAGGGGCCTGGGTAACTTCTGTGACCTTTCAGCAAATGTTTATCTTTCAGATTAATGTCCCAGCAGATTCAATTATTGTTGATTGAAGGAGTCTTCACTTTGCGCTATTCTGTGGGGAGAGCTCCGGCAGTTTACTGCTCTTGGGCACAGCCAGTCCTGAGGCTTTGAGGTTTTTTAAGTGCGCTATGGAAAAACCCCAGCTCCCACTGGATATCTGTTTTTGCAGGGACCCAAGAGGTGACTAAAATAATCATGGCAGCATTGAAAGGACTCTGCCCCAGAGCATGTTGGGGGGTTGAAATCTGCCCAGTTGTTGGAAAAAGATCCCCAAATCTCTCAAGGTTTAAGGGAATGGGCCAATGAACAAAATGAAATCCTGACAGCTGGGAACGCAGGAATGACCTGCCGTTGTGCAGTGCTGTCACAGGACCAGGCTCCGTACACCAGTCAGCTCTGGGGCGGGCGAGGGGAGGTGAAGCTTCAGGGAAGGCGAATGGCATCAAGTTTCGGAGCCTTTCTGCAGTTTCAGAGTTACAAACACAAACAGGAAAATCTCCTTTTTAATGTAAAGGTGATGTCAAATCCCCAGCTGGCGTCAATCAGTCGTAGTCAAAAAGACAGATCCCCAGTTGGTGTGAATGGGCATCGCTCCTTTGGAGTCCATGGGCCGGATCCCCAGCTGGAGTAAATGGGCATCGCTCCATTGGAGTCAATTGTCTGGATCCCCACTAGTGTCAATGGGCAACGCTCCGATGGGGATGTCACAGGGCTGCATAGCCAGCCCAGCGCTCACAGCCCCACTGTCCCCGTGCTTCATCAACAATAAACCTGGCTGGGTGCCTTCATCCCTTCACGGATCTTGTGGTCATTGGGCAGTTTGTTCAAGGTCTGCCGTGCCAGCTGGCTGGGCTGGGCTGGGGCGACACACAGAGGGAACACACACATGCAGCCAAACATCTATCAACGTCTAACCACAATAGCCAAGCAGGGGCAGGTTCCCAGATGAGGCAGCCTTTCCCCAGAATAGGGCCACAGGAGGCAGCATGTGCCTGGCGCAGAGCCTGGCTCAGGGATCCATTCCAAGCTCTGTGACTGCCCTGCTGAGCAGCCTTGGGCCAGTCACTGGCAGTGCCATGCCTGCACTTCGCCCTCTATAGGAAGGGGCTAATGGAGCCTGAGGGATCAGAACTGGAGCTGCCAAAATCCTTGCCCAAGGAGAGTGCTGGAGCCCCGCCTGCTCCAGGCCCCCCTCCTCAGGCATGGGCCCAGCTCAGGCCTGCGAGGCAGTGGAGCAGCACAGGAGGGGGGGGGCCCAGAGCAGCCTGGGGCTAGATGCATGTCTCCTTGGAGTGGCATCTCCAGCAGGGACGGGAGCCTGCCAGCTGCTCTCAGCTCAGTGCAGCACTGGGGCTGGCTGGCGCTGGATGCCATGGGGCCCATCCCACTTGGATCTGGGTGTGGCCGTGGGTGTGCTGCACCAGGAGCCGAGTGCAGAATTGTCAGAGGTAGCAAAGGAGGCTGCATCTGGCAGTGCAATCTGCGTAGCATTGAGCAGGTGGCCAGAGGAGTTCCTGATCCGCTGGGCCTGGTGAAGGCAGCTGGGGCTCCTGTGACCTGCTTGCACCAGGGCCGCGTGCACTCTGGGCCCTAGGGCATAGCCAGGTTGGGATGCAGACAGGGAACTGGGAGGCTCCTGGCTTCTCCCTACAGATCACTCCCTGTGTGCCGCCAGTCAGCCCGGCTATACGTGACTTTGGCTGCGTGGAGCTGTTCTCCGGGCGGACCTTGCCCCCGGTCATGCCGCTCCATCCCAGCCAAGCACATGAGGAGCTGCAGGTGGAGCGGTGGGGGGATCCCTTCCTCTGCGGAGCCACTGCCATGCTGCACAGCACGTAGGGAGGTGTGAGCAGCTGGCCGGCCCTCCCGCTTCCCCTCTGCGAGGCTATTCTTGTCTCCTCTGGCAGTACCCTAGGGAGAGGGCAAGCTGCTCATTGAGGGGTTGCTAAATATATCCTGGGGCCTGTGCCGGCCTGTCCTCCTGCAGATGGAGGGTGAGAATGAGAGAATCTGCCTCCCCTGCCCTAAGCCCTGGGAGGTGGAAGTGGCTGCTGGTGCATATGGGTGAATGCCATGGCCAGGGGAGCGGGGCATACTCGGGCACGGATGAGCAGGAACTGTGCTTCCAGAGTGCAGGCTGCCACTGCCTGAGCACCGATCCTGCCATGCTCATCGGGCACAGAGCATGGAGCCCAGGTCTGCTCTCATGCATGCAGGGCCCAGCTCTGTTCTCTCCCCACTGAACCCGCTTCTTCTCTAGCTCCCAACAGCGCCCACTCCACTGGCAATCCAGGGAGTTACCCGGGCTCCTGGCCACGTAACTGTGACCCAGCTCAGCCCTTGTGAGCCTGCGTCTCCAGGGCCCTGCGCTATGGGCAGCCCTGGGCACGAGCATAGCATGAAATGCTCCTGCCTCATGCCCGTCTACCCTGCTGTCAATGGTGTGCAAGGCATAGGGCAATGGAGACCTCCTGACTCTCCCTGGACGCATACAGCCCCTGGCAATTGCTGAGCAGGGTTGGGCCTTGGATGGGAGACTCCTACAGGAAAGGCCCCAACGCAGCAGGGAGACTCCACGAGGGTTAGTGCCCAGCACGCTGCTTGTGGGTGCTGTGCTGAGGGAGGGGCTGCGCTTCCCAAAGATAGGAGCTGGTGATGAGCACCTGTGGTCATCAAAGCTCTCCCGGCAGTCGGCAGGGGCATTACCCCCCATGCCCCAACTCCATTCCAACACAGCCCCTGACTGAAATTCCCACTGCAGTTTCAACTGGGTATGTTATTCTTCACTTCTTGCCCTAAGCTATGTTCCACCCCAGAGGTGGCTGCATCCCACTCCCTGCCTTGTGCATCTGTATAAGGGCTGCCTGGGCCACACAGGGAGTTCTTCAGGAATGGCTGTTCTGAATAGCTCCACCTGTCGATAGGCCCTTGGGTCCTGTGGGAGCAGGGCGCTCCCCTGGAGGGGGAGATAGCACATCCGAGGGTCAGGGCTGCAAAGAAGAGGCTTGTGGAGAAGGGAGGCCCCTGCAGCCGAGTTCTCGCTGAGTCAGTTGGGCAGCGGGGTGGGAACGTCATGGGGTGAACCCTTCTAACCCGCCCACTCACTGTTCTGTCGTCTGTTCCAGGTGTGGATCTGCAGCGTGAGGAGCTGAAAGGACCTGGGAGAGGTGGGACGATGAGGCCATGGACTGAGCCTGACAGCAGTAAGCAATGCCCGAGGCTGGGGGTGAGGCTGGGGGCCCTGCCTGGCAGCTCCAGACAGTGCCCAGGGCCCGCTGGATGAGGGGGCTAGGCTAGCGCTGACCCAGAGACCCTGGCTGCATGGGCTGGCCCATATGCCTGCTTCTGTGTAACTCCTCTGAATGATCTGGAGAGAGGACAAGGCTCTCCACAGCCCCGCTCAGCCTGGGCAGTCCTGCAGTGCTGGGCAGGACGTGCTTGGCTGATCACACTCCTGCTGTCCCTGAGCACAGGACGGGTGTGGCTGCCCGTGGGAGGCAGCTAAGGCTGGGGCCCATTGTCACTTGGCTGCGTGCTAAGGAGCAGTCAGGGCCATGGGAGTTGCAGCTGGTGTGGACAGGGTGACGCACTGCCCAGCACCACGGGCTGCCTGTGAGCTGGTGCTGGCTGCCAAGGTAACAGTGGGTAGGGCCCAGAGCTGTGAGGAAGGAACTGCCCATCCCAGGTGGCAGCCCATAATCACAGGCCCCAACGGAACGTGGTCATGTCCCCCCTCTTCTGTGAGCAGCTCTGTAGTGCCCGGTGGGACAGTCGCCCATGTGAGGCCCCCTGCACGGAGACGTATGAACTGGGATGTGGGGCCAGCTGGGGCTGTTGATGGGAGCGTGTGTGGGGCTGGTGAGATGTCCCCGGCATGTGGAGGCTCCAAGGCTGTCTCTTGGCTCTGCCCCCTGCAGCGCGGTCTCGCTGAAACACAGCCCAGCCTGGCTAGCGCTAGCTCACGCTGATGCTGGCAGGAAGTGTGGACACGGCCCTCTGCCAGCCGACGAGCCCAGCCAATGAGCCCAATGGTGCACATTCAGGCCGCGTGGTGGTTAGATTATTCTTTGTCCAATTAACTGTGATGTGTAGCGTTGTTATTATGGGTGCCACGTGTGCCTTAATGGGTGGTTGTTTTTTAAGTAAATGTGAGTAGGGTCTTTCCATGATTGGAGGACCATTTAACTGTAACACTGTTATGTTGCCCACTAAAATCGTTCTGTTCACCCATACTTTAATCGTGAGCACCTCTAATGGTCCTGGTGTGAATGGTGTGTGAACCAGGTTCACAAAAAGGATTAAAATCCACATTTGGCTCCATAGGGGTTGTTACCTTAATCATGCAGTTACAATCCTCATTGGTTATATTAACCCAGGCTTGTATTGTAGTTTGTGCGAAAGGCCCATACGAGGTATTGTTACACATTGCTTTTTCAGTTAAACTATTGTAGCTCCCCCGTGCATGTGTTGTCCCTGAACCCCCAAAAGTGTATAAATATCCCCCAAAGCAACATCTTGCCCTTAGCAGGTTCCTGGCAGGACTCCCTTAGGATCAGGTCGTGTACGAGGAATCTTTACCGGGGTGCAACATGATTATTGGCAGGTATATACTTCTAGTTCATGTTTAATACCTGTAATAATTAAACAGATTAAGAAAACAATTTTATCTGTGACACATGAACCCATTTGAGTTTGCTGTTGGTTTGTTTTTTTTTAATACGGTACACTAGTGGGCTAAGACAGTCAATGATGGAATAAAGACCTCTCCACTTAAAATCCAGGGCATGAGCCTTTTCCCCTCGCTTTAAATACATTACCTGGTCACCAACTTTCCATAGCTCAGAGTCAGTGGCTTTTTGCTTATACAGTTTGTATTCTTTTCCTCAATGGCTTGGTTTACCCGTATGGAGTGGAAATCTATCAACTTCATGAAAAAACTCGTAAGTCTCTAAGGTGCCACAAGTACTCCTTTTCTTCCTGTATTGTAAGGTAGTTTTGTTTTCTTGCAATTGTTTGAGCCACTGGAAGTAGTTATGCTGTGTCACAGTAGGTTATTCCTCAGAATCTCTAGTTAGGCATTCAGGATCAATTATTAACCACACTGGCTGCCAAAACAAAATTTGTTATGACTGTATTTTTCTTTCCAGCCTGTCACCACTGCAGAAAGCAGCCAGGATCAAGGGCAGCTTATCAGGCCAGTTTTTAACCGGTGTGGTCTACCACTTTTCTCAATGTCTCTTTAATGGTACGATTTTTTTTTTTCACCTGTCCTGAGGGTTGGGGTCAGTATGGGATATGAAACTTTTGTTTAATTCCCAGAGCATGCATTATTCTGGTAAAGATTTCCCCCACAAATGCACCCCCATTGTCTACATCTATAACCTTGGGGGTCCCCAAACCTGCAGACCAGTTCTATATCCTTTTCAGCAGCTGCTTTCCACTCATTTCTTTGCCAGTCATACATCCAATTCTGTATTCCTTTCACAGAAAATCACTATCAGCATAGATATACACAGGTCTGGGGGGAGCCTTCATACTGTTTTAAAACTTGGTATATAGTGTTAAGTTCAGCATGCTGAGTTGATCCGCAGGCCAAATGTCCCTGAATAACCTCCTTTTCTAGGTTAATAGCAGCATTTTAATCCATCTCTTCCCTTCAGTTACCATTGAACTCCCATTAGTAAACCAAATGTTTTTCCTGGCCTACAGTATCCAATTCCTCAAGAGGTGGTGCTTACACTAAAGCAATCCCCTGTTTCAGAGTGATTTCTGGGCACTCATGTTTATTTCCTTTTTCAATTAAAGCATGCGTCCGCATAACTGGTTTGGACACGGTTTCAGTAGTGACCTCTCTGTTAACTAGAATGAGGGTCCACTGAGTATTAGAAACCTTACCTTCCATCAGTTTGCCTGATAAAATGTATTTAAGGGGAGTGTGTGTCCTTTGAATAGTAATGTATGCTGTGCCTGTGAGTGGTTCAAAGGATTGTACTGCCCAGACAGCTGCTAGGCATTCGTGTTCACAGGGATTAAAATTTAATTCTGTGCCTTGCAGTTTCCTTGATTCATAGGCTACTGATACCTGTTTTCTTCCTTCATTATTTTGCAGTAGAGTAGCTGCTAGTACTGAGGTCATAAGCAGCCAGACAGATTACACTTTCCCGCTGAGTCAAGGCCATTTGTTAAGCTGGAGCTGTGACTGCTTTTTGCTTTAAAGTACTTAAGGTAGAATCCTGTGTTGGCCCCCATTCCCACTGAGTCTTTTTCTTTAACATTTTTCATAAAGGAAGCATAATCTCAGCATACTTGTAAATTTGTGGCCACAGGAAATTGAATCCACCCAACAAGACTTGTAAGGAGCGTACAGCTGTGGGGGCTGGCATTTCTAGCAGTGCCTTTTCGCTGATCTACTTGTCTGGCCTCTCTCCTGATTACTAGACCTGCGTACACTTAGCTGGGCTTGGAGGCTGGAAGTAGATTAAGATTTGCCAATTACAGATTTATTTATTTTAATAACCAAAGTTTTTACATACTGTTTTTTCCCTTGTTAATTTTATTTTGTGCTTAAAATTCGTGTTCATTTTTTCCCTAATGCAATATGCTTTTTAATATATATAAACACACAAACAATACACAACAATGCTAGCAACAAGACAAACAAAATTTTTGTTGCGACAGTAGATCCATAGTATTCTGACAGGTTTCAGAGTAACAGCCGTGTTAGTCTGTATTCGCAAAAAGAAAAGGAGTACTTGTGGCACCTTAGAGACTAACCAATTTATTTGAGCATGAGCTTTCGTGAGCTACAGCTCACTTCATCAGATGCATACCGTGGAAACTGCAGCAGACTTTATATATACACAGAGAATATGAAACAATACCTCCTCCCACCCCACTGTCCTGCTGGTAATAGCTTATCTAAAGTGATCATCAGGTGGGCCATTTCCAGCACAAATCCAGGTTTTCTCACCCTCCACCCCCCACACAAATTCACTCTCCTGCTGGTGCTAGCCCATCCAAAGTGACAACTCTTTACATAATCAAGTCGGGCTATTTCCTGCACAAATCCAGGTTCTCTCACATCCCCCCCACCCCCATACACACACAAATTCACTCTCCTGCTGGTAATAGTATTCTGAGTTGCTCCTCAGATGGTACCATTTTTTTCTGAAGTTCTGAAAGACAAGAAAAACATTTTTCTACCTCCTTGTGGTGGGGGGATTATAGCTTAAAATGCTTTTTTTTTTTTTTAAACAAATTTCCTTGCTGATTGCAGGCAAAACAGAGGAATTACCCCCATACTTTTCCTGTGGTTTTGTTCTATCTGTAGACCATGTTTCAATGGCTTCTACCTTTTAAGGGAAAGGAGTACTTGTGGCACCTTAGAGACTAACCAATTTATTTGAGCATGAGCTTTCGTGAGCTACACGAAAGCTCATGCTCAAATAAATTGGTTAGTCTCTAAGGTGCCACAAGTACTCCTTTTCTTTTTGCGAATACAGACTAACACGGCTGTTCCTCTGAAACCTACCTTTTAAGGGGTTAGGGTGAATTATTCCACTGTGCAGTTATGAAGTGATATACCTCAGTTTTCCTTTTTATACAGCAGACCAGGTTTGTAATAGTTTTTCTGCTGTGCTAAGCTTTAAGTTTATTTACACGTAATAGCTGAGAAGCATTATTACTATATGCCTTTTTTTGGTGCTCAGAGTTTATGTATTTTTATTAAAGTGACAATGACAGTCTGATTACTTAGAGCCACCTTAAGGCTCAGTGTTTCTAATCTTGATTCTTTGTGCACCTTACCCCTGCTGTTGCTCCAGAGGGCACTCACTATCTTTTTCCCTTTTTTTTTTTAATTTTTACTGCAGCTCTTGGCTGTCCCTTATTACAATCATGACTTTGGTCCTTATTTAAAAACATATTAAAAACTTCATAAAGCATTCAGTGGAAAATACAGTGGGGAGATTTATATACACACAGAACATGAAACAATGGGCGTTACCATACACACTGTAAGGAGAGTGATCAGGTAAGGTGAGCTATTACCAGCAGGAGGGGGGGGGGGAGAGGGACCTTTTGTAGTGATAATCAAGGTGGGCCATTTCCAACACAAATCCAGAATACAGACTAACACGGCTGTTACTCTGAAACCAGCACAAATCCAGGTTTTCTGTCCCCCCACCCCACTCTCCTGCTGGTAATAGCTTATGTAATAAGATAAGGGTGTGCCTTGCACCTGGAGTGTGCCTTGCACCTGGAAAAGAATAGGAGGACTTGTGGCACCTTAGAGACTAACCAATTTATTTGAGCATAAGCTTTCGCTGTAGCTCACAAAAGCTTATGCTCAAATAAATTGGTTAGTCTCTAAGGTGCCACAAGTCCTCCTTTTCTTTTTGCGAATATAGACTAACACAGATGTTACTCTGAAACCTGGAAAAGAATGTGAACCAGTCACTCCTCGATCTGCACAAACTGGCAACTGACAAGAATGACCCTCATTTGTGTGACTTCATTGAAGATAAGGCACACCCTTAACTTATTAGATAAGCTATTACCAGCAGGAGAGTGGGGTGGGGGAGAGAAAACCTTTTGAAGTGATAAACATCCATTTTTTCATGGTCTGTGTGTATAAAGACAGGTTTCAGAGGAACAGCCGTGTTAGTCTGTATTCGCAAAAAGAAAAGGAGTACTTGTGGCACCTTAGAGACTAACCAATTTACAAGCTGTCAGCATAGTCTGTGTGGTATGTAGATTGTAATTGGTTATTAATTGGTTAATTGGTTAGTCTCTAAGGTGCCACAAGTACTCCTTTTCTTTGTGTGTATAAAAACATCCTTACTGCATTTTCCACTTTTATGCATCCAATGAAGTGAGCTGTAGCTCACAAAAGCTTATGCTCAAATAAACTGGTTAGTCTCTAAGGTGCCACAAGTACTCCTTTTCTTTTTGCGAATACAGACTAACACGGCTGCTACTCTGAAACGTGTGAGGAACAGTAAGGGGGGAGAGGGGAATAAACATGGGGAAATAGTTTTACTTTGTGTAATGACACATCAACTCCCAGTCTTTATTCAAGTCTAATGTAATGGTGTCCAATTTGCAAATTAATTCCAATTCAGCAGTCTTTGTTGGAGTCTGTTTTTGAAGTTTTTTTGTTGAAGAATTGCCACTTTTAGGTCTGTAATCGAGAGACCAGAGAGATTGAAGTGTTCTCCTACTGGTTTTTGAATGTTATAATTCTTGACATCCGATTTGTGTCCATTTATTCTTTTACGTAGAGACTGTCCAGTCTGGCCAATGTATAAAGCATTGTGGTACCTTAAGGGTTAAATGCTAAATACCAAAGCCAAACGCTAATTATTTGTGTCTGGCAAAAAGTGCCTGTCAGTTTTGCCACTTTGAATGAAAGATTCAAATGGATTTTTAGTGGCATTATTTAAAAACAAAACAAAACCAATTCATGTTAAACTACAAAATAGGGTTTTACAAACCAGGAGTGTTTGTTTAGGTTCTTAATTTTTTTTTAACATTCACTGCACGGCTTTAATTATTTTACACAGCTGTACATAGATTACATTCCCTTTTATACATTTGGGCTCAGTTAAATTCCAGTAGAAAACCCTAATGTTCTTTAAGAAATTTGATTAAATTGTTCATAGTCAACTGATTTAAATCAGATTGTTTCTTTGCCTCTAACATTTTTAGAACATTCAACTGTTTAATTCCCTCCAGCCTCTGCAGAGTTAACTTTTTTCCCCCTTAAATCACTTACTTATCTTGCAAAATGACACCTTCCTCAGCTCAGATGTCACCATTTCAAGTATTGTCCCAGAGATTTGAATTTGAACTGTGTTGTGTCTCCAGCATTCTTAACAGCCTCATTAACACTCACCGGTGTTGTCTTTGGTCAATGGAGACTCAGAGTTCAGAGGTGCTTTCCCATGAGTTCACCTCCCAGGTGGGGGGCAAGAAGGCACCTTGCTCGTTCCTCCAGCTGCTCACTGTTCACTCTGGCCACTGCTGTTCGTTGTGCCACTGTTCACTCCATCACTCTGTTACCCATGGCCCTGCGCCATCACCTTCTGCTGCCACCTGCCAATGTAACCTCTGCAAGTTGGTCTCTTGAGGTTCCACCCAGCTCTCAGTGATTTCAGCTGAGCTCTCAGTGCGGGAACCTCACTGCTCATGCAGATTAGGCTGTCTCTTCCACAGAAACACTGTCCCTCAGCACATCTAAGCACGAAGACCTGATTATCAGTGATTTCAGCTGTAGTGGTCACTTAACAAAACAAAAGACGATCTATGGAGCCTAATCAGCTCTGTCTTTAAACAGTGGAGAGGGGCAGGACAAATAATACTTGTCACTCAGGCAGACCATTAAGCAAAACACCTGTCCCCACCCTCTCTCTTGGTGCCCTCAATCAGCACAGGCTAAGTACAGTTCTACTACCCTTTACTCATAGCACTGGTCTACACTATGTGGTTAGGTCGAATGTAGCCGCGTTAGGTAGATTTTAAAATGAATGCGTCTACACGACCAACCCCGTTCCATCGACCTAAAGGGCTCTTAAAATTGACTTCTGTACTCCTCCATGGCAAGGAGAGTAGCACTAAAATTGACCTTGCTGGGTCAAATTTGGGATAGTGCAGACACAATTCAATGGTATTGGCCTCCGGGAGCTATCCCAGATTGCTCCAATGTGACCGCTCTGGACAGCACTTTCAATTCTGATGCATTAGCCAGGTACACAGGAAAAGCCCCGGAGAAATTTTGAATTTTGTTTCCTGTTTGGTCAGCGTGGCGAGCTCAGCAGCACAGATGACCATGCTGAATTGCAGAATCGCAAACGAGCTCCAGCATGGTCCCAAAGGGAGACACTGGATCTGATTGCTGTATGGGGAGAAGAATCTGTGCAGGCCGAACTCTGATCAAAAAGAAGAAATGCTAATATATATGCCAAAATCACACAGGGCATGGTGGAGAGAGGCTACAACAGGGACACACAGCAGTGCCGCATGAAAGTCAAGGAGCTCAGGCAAGCCTACCAAAAGATAAAGGAGGCAAATGGTCGCTCTGAGTCAGAGCCCCATACATGCTGCTTCTATAATCAGCTGCATGGCATTCTGGGGGGAGGACCCTGCCACTACCCCACCACTGTCCATGGACACCTGCAAGCGGGGAGTCTCACGCAACGGAGAGGAGGATTTTGTGGATGAGGAAGAGGAGGAGGAGGAGGAGAAGTATGAGTAGCAGGCAATCAGTGAATCCATTCTCCTCAGCAGACAGGACGTTTTCATCACCCTGGAGCCAATACCCTCCCAAGGCGGGATCACCGACCCTGAAGCCAGAGAAGGCAGCTCTGGTGAGTGCACATTTGTAACTACAGTACAGGGTTTTAAAGCAATAGTGTTAATGTTTGATTTGCCCTGAAGAATTGGGATGCATTCGTGGCCAGTACAGCTACTGGAAATGTCTGTTAACATGTCTGGGAATGGAGCGGGAATCCTCCAGGGACATCTCCATGAAGATCTCCTGGAGGTACTATGAAAGTCTTTGCAGAAGGTTTCTGGTGAGGGTTGCCTTATTTCATCCTTTACCACGCCAAGCCAGTAGCAAGTAGTCTGGAATCATTGCAGCACAAAGCATGTCAGCGAATGGTCCTGGGTTTTGGTCACATTCAAGCAACATTCGGTCTGTATCTTTCTGTGTTACCCTCAAGAGAGTGATATCATTCATGGTCACCTGGTTGAAATAAGGGAATTTTTGTAAGGGAACAGTAAAAGGACCCCGTTCATGCTGGGTTGTTTGTGCTTGGCTAAAAGGGATCATCCCGGAGAATAGCCACGTGGCAGGGGGAGGGATGAAGGGATCATCCCAGAGAATAGCCACACGTTGGGGTAGGGGGAGGTGTGTGCTGCACATCCACTTGAAAACCACAGCCCCTCCTTTTAAATGTGAAACCCAACCGGCATTGCTTACTATGGGAAAGATGGCGCTGCAGTTTGAAACCATTCCCACATGTTATGAAAGCGTAAGAAGCCAACCCCATGTACCAAAAGGCTTACCATAATCCAACTAATGCCCTTATGGTTTTCTGGGTTCCTGGGGCGGGTGATGGGGTTGGAAGGGGAGGGTCTGCATGCTCCCGGGCAGGGGTCTGGGTGGACCACCTTAGCAATGCCAGGGCCCTTTGGGAAGAACAGACACTTGCCCTCTCCCTCTGAAGGATGGGCCCTTAGTGGAAGAGCAGCTCAGTCCTGGGCCCTGGCTGCTTTGCGCTGCTGGACTGCCCTGACAAGGCAGCTCTGGACTGCCCTGTCACAGGGGTGCCAGGGAGCACAGGGCTCAGCAAGGGGGCCTGTGATGGGTGGGGCAGCAGGTGGCAGGGCAGGACAAGGTCACAGAACGGCATAACTGAGAGCAGCCTTGAGGGTGAGGCTGCTCTCAGTTATGCTGGGCTAGTTTCGCCTTGCAGCGGGCCCAGGATCAGGGAGCAGAAGGGAGGCACGGAGTCAGCTGTAGAGTGATCCCGAGAGTCTAAGAGGAGGGGCTGGTGTCATGCAGGTGGAGGAGGCTGGCTCCCCTCAGACATGCATGGCCCCTGTGCTGACAGTTGGGCTCCCCCCGGGCCTTGCCCACCAGATGAGGCTGCTGGTGCAGGGAGCACATGCTGGCTGGAGACGTGCAAGGGTCCAACCTAGGGGGGCCTTGGCTGCCCCCCATCCCTGCTATCCCCCACAGGGCTGGGCCTCAGGCGGAGGCCACAGCTGCACAGGCGAGCAATCCCCAGGGACAGCAGCAGCGCTGGCCAGGTGCAGTCAGACGCGCTGGGCACCAGGCCATGGCTCTCCCCCGCCGTACTCCTGCTGCAGCCAGTGGAGGGTCCAGGCCGCTGGACTACTCCCCGCACAGAAACAGGCCTTGCCCATCACCGCTAGGTTCCCACGAGGAGCTGAGCTAGGCAGACGGATTACACATGACGTCTTCACCTGCTGCCAAGTCCCAGGAGGGGTTTAGTGGCTTCATGGGAGAGATCTTTGCTCTGGAGGGAACAAATGCAGAAGTCATGATTGTTCCATTGTGTCATGAACAGGCAGAGCCGGGATCCAACTGCCAAGGGAGGACAGGTCCCCTGACAAGAAAGCTGCAGCCTGTCCCCTTTAGTTACAGAGAAAAGCTGAGCTCTGTTTAAACGCACTAACAGGTCTGCCTGTGCTGCCCAGGGACACAAGTGCCAGCTCAGTCGCACACGTGGGGAACACGCACGCATGCTGATCCAGATAGACATACGCACATACACGGCAAGGGATAAGTGTGCAAACCACACCGAGGGAGCACACACTCACACGTACACAGAGAGTACATGCATATACACACACAGAGGGAGTACCCTTGTGTGTACACACAGACACAGGAGCACCGCACGCACGCACACACACAGAGTACCGCATGCACATGTACACACACACGAGCACTGCATGTGCGTGAGTGCTCACGCACACACACAGCGGAGTACCACACACACAGAATCATAGAATCATAGAATATCAGGGTTGGAAGGGACCCCAGAAGGTCATCTAGTCCAACCCCCTGCTCGAAGCAGGACCAATTCCCAGTTAAATCATCCCAGCCAGGGCTTTGTCAAGCCTGACCTTAAAAACCTCTAAGGAAGGAGATTCTACCACCTCCCTAGGTAACGCGTTCCAGTGTTTCACCACCCTCTTAGTGAAAAAGTTTTTCCTAATATCCAATCTAAACCTCCCCCACTGCAACTTGAGACCATTACTCCTCGTTCTGTCATCTGCTACCATTGAGAACAGTCTAGATCCATCCTCTTTGGAACCCCCTTTCAGGTAGTTGAAAGCAGCTATCAAATCCCCCCTCATTCTTCTCTTCTGCAGGCTAAACAATCCCAGCTCCCTCAGCCTCTCCTCATAAGTCATGTGTTCTAGACCCCTAATCATTTTTGTTGCCCTTCGCTGGACTCTCTCCAATTTATCCACATCCTTCTTGTAGTGTGGGGCCCAAAACTGGACACAGTACTCCAGATGAGGCCTCACCAATGTCGAATAGAGGGGGACGATCACGTCCCTCGATCTGCTCGCTATGCCCCTACTTATACATCCCAAAATGCCATTGGCCTCCTTGGCAACAAGGGCACACTGCTGACTCATAACAAGCTTCTCGTCCACAGAGGGAGTACACATGCATACAGACAGACACAGAGGGAGTACACCTGTACACACACACGCAGAGGATTACCGGGCACACACACACACATGCACATGCAGAAGAGTAAGCCCCACGCACACGCACACACACCCCCACAGAGTACTGCACAAATGCACACACACACACAGAGGAATACCACAAGAGTACACACACACACAGGAGTACCACACATGCGTGCGCACACACACACACACACAGAGGAGTACCGCACATGTACATGTGGGAACTAGGAGTGCGGGGGGTGCTACAGTACCCCCAGGTTTTACGGGGGACTCTGCTTCTGGCCCCCAATGCAGGGTCCTGGCTGTTGGCCCCGTACCTGGGGCTCCGCTCCCGGCCCCATGCCCGGGATCCCAGCTGCTGCCCCACGCCCCCGAGATCCCAGCTGCTGGCCCCGCCTCCACCCCCAGACTTGGCCCCCTTACCCCTGTCCAGGACCCGCCCTCCCCTAGACACGGCCCTTCTCCAGGGGGTTGGGGGTAGGGAGAGCGGACAGAGGTAAGAAGGCTGGCTTTCAGCACCCCCATTAGTAAAAGTGTTCCAGCACCACTGTTTGAAACGTAACCCTGCCCTCCCCCTGGCCCGGGGCTCCCAGCTGCTGCTGCAACAGCCCCTAGCCCCGGCCTTTAAAGTTAAAGGGGCCTGGGGATTTAAAGGCTCCGCCTCTTTCAGTAGAGGCCACGCCTCTTCCGGTTGAGGCCTTCCCCCTCCTCAGGACTCCCTAGTACTGTTAAATCCTTTAAGTTACTTTCACCCCTGCCTTAGCCATCTCTTTTCCAAGCTGAAAAGTCCCAGTCTCGTCATATGGAAGCCGTTCCATCCCCCTAATCATTTTTGTTGCCCTTTTCTGAACCTTTTCCCATTCCAATATATCTTTTTTGAGATGGGATGTCCACATCTGCACGCAGTATTCAAGGTGTGGGCGTACCATGGATTTATATAGAGGCAACATGATATTTTCTGTCCTATTACCTATCCCTTTCTTAATTAGTCCCAGCATTGTGTTTGCTTTTTTGACTGCTGCTGCACATTGAGCAGACGTTTTCAGAGAACTATCCACAATGACTCCAAGATCTCTTTCTTGAGTGGTAACAGCTAATTTAGACCCCATCATTTTATATGTATAGTTGGGATTATGTTTTTCAATGTGCATTACTTTGGATTTATCAACATTAAATTTCATCTGCCATTTTGTTGCCCAGTCGCCCAGTTTTGAGAGATCCTTTTGTAGCTCTTCACAGTCTGCCGGGTCTTAACTATCTTTAGTAATTTTGTATCATCTGCAAATTTTGCCACCTCACTGTTTACCCCTTTTTCCAGATCATTTATGAATATGTCGAATAGGACTGGTCCCAGAACAGACCCCTGAGAGACACCACTATTTACCGTTCTCCATTCTGCAAACTGACCATTTATACCTATCCATTGTTTCCTATCTTTTAACCAGTTACCAATCCATAAGATCACCTTCCCTCTTATCCCATGGTAGCTTACTTTGCGTAAGAGCCTCTGGTGAGGGACCTTGTGAAAGGTTTTACTGAAAATCTAAGTACATTATGTCCACTGGATCCCCTTGGTCCACATGCTTGTTGACCCCCTCAAAGAATTCTAGTAAATTGGTGAGGCATGATTTCCCTTTATTAACACCATGTTGACTCTTCCTCAACAAATTATGTTCATCTATACGTCTGACAATATTGTTTTTTATTATAGTTTCAACCAATTTGTCCGGTACTGAAGTCAGGCTTACAGGCCTGTAATTGCCGGGATCACCTCTGGACAGGGCCGGATAAACTTTTTGTGGGCCCAGCGCCAAACATATTTGTGGGCCTTCATGGGGCAAGGTGCAGGGGGGCGGGATGGTCAGTCTCCAGAGTGAGGGCAGGCTGTGGGCAATGAGGCATGGCACGGCAGGAGCTGCCCCGCTCTGCACAGCCCAGCAGGAGGGCACTGTTTATGAACCTGTAGCTGCCAGACGCACACTGGCCTGCCCAGCCCTGTGCTGCCAGCATCCCCCATCCCCTTCAGGGAGGGCCCGCACCACACTGGCCCCTTGCCCAGTGCCCCACCCTTATGCCCAGCGCCCCCTCGCCCAGAGACCTCCACCACAGATCTCTATGCCCAGCCCCCACCCCTTCCCGCTGGCCTCCCACCACAACTGCACAGCACCCTGCACACCACACCGCTCGCCCAGTGCCCCCCACCCATAGACCTGCCCACCACCTTCCTCACAGTCCCACCATCACAGCTGCACAGTACCCCATATTCCTGAGGGAATTCTGCACCAAAAATTAAAATTCTGCCCACAATATTTTAAAATTCTGCAAATTTTATTTGTCAATAAATAGATGTGGAGGCTCCAACATGGAAGTGGGGAGCACAGGCCACTGGCTGCATGGAGGTGGGAGATTACCCTGCAACCTCCCCCCACCCCACCCTGGGACAGGGATTCGGCAGTGAGGCTGCACCTGACCCTGACAGTGCAAGGGCCAGGCCTGCCCCAGAAACACCCTGGGGCCCTGCCCCCCGTGCCAGGCGCACCAGGTGTGGGTGAGCAGGCTCAGCCCGGCAGCAGGATCCAAGTGTGGAGGGACTTAGTGTGGGGGGATCCAGGTGGGGGTAAGAGAGTTCTCTGTGGGGCAGTCTGGGTGCGGGTGGCTCAGTGGGGGATCTGGATGCACAGAAGCTCATTGCGGGGTTCCAGGTGCAGGGGCAATGGGACTCTGTAGGGGATCCAGGTGAAGCTGTTTGGGACTCAGTGGCAGGGTCTAGGTGCAGGGGAGGTGGGGCTCATTTGGGTGGGGGTCCAGGTGCAGGTGGTTGGGGCTCAGTGGGGAGGGTATCTGGGGAGGCTCATTGGGGTGGTACAGATGCCGTGGAGGTGGGGCTGGTCAGGGTGAGGGTTCGATGGGCCTGCTTAACAGAGGAGCCCCAGCTTTTGCCAAGGGGATGCCGCATGCTGGGCTCCCGCTTCCCTCATTCTCTTCTCTTCCCCATCCCTTCCCTTCCCCACCATTCCATCTCACCCCCTTCCTTCCCCCCGCCTCTTCCCCCGCTTCCCTCATCCCTTTCTCTTCCCCATCCCACGCCCCTTCTCCACCGCTCCATCTCCTCCCCAGGCTGGGGCAGAACGGAGTGGGAAGAGATGGGGTGGGGCGGAGTAGGGGTGGGGGAAGCTTTTCTGGCACGCTCAGCCAGCTGGGGGATCAGGCTGGCCGGGGCCCCTTCTGACTCTGGGCCCAGTCCCGTAGTGCCAGTGGCACCATGGTAAACCCGGTACTGCCTCTGGAGCCCTTTTTAAAAATTGGCATCACATCAGCTATCCTCCAGTCATCTGACACACAAGCTGATTTAAACAATAGGTTACAGACTTCCGTTAGGTTTCAGAGTAGCAGCCGTGTTAGTCTGTATTCGCAAAAAGAAAAGGAGGACTTGTGGCACCTTAGAGACTAACCAATTTATTTAAGCATAAGCTTTCGTGAGCTACAGCTTATGCTCAAATAACTTGGTTCGTCTCTCAAATAAATTGGTTAGTCTCTAAGGTGCCACAGGTCCTCCTTTTCTTTTTGAGACTTCCGTTAGTGGCTCTGCAATTTCACATTTGAGTGTCTTCAGAACTCTTGGGTGACTGCGATCTGGCCCTGGTGACTTATTGCTCTTTAACTGCCTGCCCATTGCAGAGCCCGGGCTCACTCTGGGCAGGCACACACTCTGTGCTCTCCCTTAGACAGACATGACATGGCTTCGGTCTGAGCTAAAGTCTGGTCCCACTAAAGGGCTGTGGCTGCTGCTGTGTGTGGAATCACGCGCCCTGGGGAGCAGGCTGCGGGCGCTGGGTCTGACACCGCCAGGAAACCATGCGTGCCCCAGCTGAGTTCCCGCTGGTCGGTGCTGGGTGAGGGGAAAGGCTCTGCCCCCGCCCCGGGCTGCCCCTCTCTCAGTCCCACGCATCACATGGGACGGAGGATTGGGGCGGGGCAGGAGGCGGCGAAGGGCCGGGCCGGAGGCGGCGGGCGCTGCTGAGTTCCGCGGGATGGAGGCGGCTGGCGGGGCCCGACCCCGGGTGCTGGTGGTGGGCGCGGGGCTGGCGGGGCTCGGCGCTGCGCAGCGGCTCTCCAGCTCCCGAGCCTTCCCCCACCTGCGCCTGCTGGAGTCCACGGGCCGGGCCGGGGGCCGCGTCTGCTCCCAGCCATTCGGTACCCGCCGGGCCCCGCGGGGAGCTGGGCCCCGACCCACCCGGCGGCTGTGCCGGGGTGTGGCTTCCTGGGGCAGGGCACTGGCGAGCTGGGCCAGACGCGGGGACAGCAGGCTGGTGTGGCAGGCTCTGGGACAGCGCCCCTCTGCGTCCAGCTGCCTCTTGCTCTGCGGCCCAGCATGTGTCAGTGGGTGGGTGAGGGGATTCCCCCGGGGCTCTTTGACACAGAAACCTGGCTCTGCCTTTGAGTGGCCTGTGGGTGAACGATCCCCTCCTGGAAACGTGCACCCTGATCATGACTAGTGAGAACAACCACTCTGGGTGCTTCTTAACCCTCCCCCCTCCCTGTTAGAGACCAGGATGAGACCTCTTGTGGGGGCAGTGTCCCTGCGCCTGGCTGTGTGTGTGTGCGCCAGGCTCTGGGGCAGCATCTCTGGGGTACAGGGGTGGGGTTCTCTGCTGGGGGGGGGAGTAGTAGGCTGGGTGTGTCTGTGCCAGGCTGGGGGGTGGCATCCCTGGGACAGGGAGTTGGGGAGCTGTGCCAGGCGGGGGGGCAGCAGGCTGGGTGAGTCTGTGCCAGGCTGGGGGGTGGCATCCCTGGGACAGGGAGTTGGGGAGCTGTGCCAGGCGGGGGGGCAGCAGGCGGGGGGGCAGCAGGCTGGGTGAGTCCGTGCCAGTGCTGTGTAATGTTTCCCCTGCCTCCTAGGGAGTGAAGTGGTGGAGATGGGCGCACACTGGATCCATGGACCCTCCAAGGAGAACCCTGTCTTCAAGCTGGCGTCCGACTACGGGCTGCTGGACGAGGAAGCCATGTCCGAAGAGAACCAGCAGATTGAGGTGGGGGGCCACCCCTTCCTGCCCACGGTTTTCTACTCCAACGCGGGACGAGTCCTGACCCCAGAGCTGGGGGAGGGGGTGAGGAACCTGTTCTCCACCCTGCTGGACCAGACGCGTGAGTTCCTGCACGTGCCGCAGGTCTCCGTGCCCAGTGTGGGCGAGTATCTGCGGAAGGAGATCGCCCAGCAGGTGAAGGAGTGGACGGACGATGACGAAACCAAGTGGCTGAAGCTGGCCGTCCTTAACACGTACTTCAAGCTGGAGTGCTGCGTGTGTGGGACCCACAGCATGGATCACGTGGCGCTGGGGCCCTTTGGGGAGTATGCCATGCTCCCCGGCCTGGACTGCACCTTCCCTGGGTGAGTAGGGCAAGCTGGGGCTGGTTGCGCTTTCTCAGTGCTTGCAGGGTTTGAGAGTGACCTGGCGCAGCGTCCGCCCATCATAAGTAGAGTCCCGTGGAGTGGGAAAATCCAGCTCCCCCTTCCAGGCTCTGCAAACAACCCAGCCTCTGCTTTTAAAAATGGCCCTTCAGAGCAAAGAACTGGCTCCTAGCCCGCAGTGCAGGGAGCCTGCACAGTCCCAGCTGGCCCCGCCTGAGCCTGGAGCTGGAAAGGTGAAGGTGGGCGGGGCTTTCTCCCATGGAAGGCAGTGGGAAAGGCTCTTGCAGGTGTTGCATTGGGCCCAGCATAACAGGAGCTGTGTCCCTTGTTTAGGAGGAGCTGAGAGCTCTTTTCCGAGCCCTTAAAATGGGGAATGCAGGCAGGGGAGTGTTTCCACAGTGCTGTGTTTGCAGACAGCTGGGAGCAAGGCCCTGACTGCTCAAGAAGCAGTGACCTTGTTGCAGTGTTGTTTGTGTCGTTGTCCCAGAGGGCAGCGCGGGGTGCGGTTTGCTGAGCCGAGGGCTTAGTGCCGCTCAGCAGGTACGGGTGACCTCTCGCTTGTCCAGGGTGGGCTCGTGTTATCCTGCATTGCCAGATGCTTAGCTTGTCCCCTATGTCTGTGCAAAGTGATAATAACGCTACCAGCTCACTGGGCGGCAGGGTGCAGAGCCCCAGGTGCCCGCAGCTCTTGTGGTGGTGCCGTTTTGGGGCACACTGCCCGTAAAAAGAGAGACCCCCACCCTCCACCTTCCTAGGAAGTTGAGTCTCCTGCTGGCGTGCGTGTGCCCATCTGTGTGTGTGTCTCCCTCACCCCTCTCCAGGTATTTCTCTGGTCTGCCCTGCACAGAGGGAGCCCAGCAGTCATACAGTTGCCCATGTGCTGGGGCACCCCAGTAGTCCAGGGCAACTCCAGCAGCAAGGGAGGCAGTGAGGGGGGTGTCAGGCTCCCCAAGGGGAGCCAGGCCCGTGGCAGAGAGGGGGTGAATTAAAGCCCACTCTGCTGCCCCTCTCTCCTAAGCCTGGTCTGGGGCACTGGGGCTGCTCTGGGCCTTTCCCTGTGGGGAGGCAGCTGAATTTGCGTGTGGGTCTGTCTGAGCTTGGGGAGGAGGCCAGTGGCCCCCCAGCGAGGCCCAGGCTGATGCGCTGATGCTGGGCACTTCCTCTCCCACAGCGGCTATGGAGGCCTGCCAGACTGCATGCTGACCTCGCTGCCCAAGGAGAGCGTGGTGTTCCACAAGCCAGTGACAGCAGTTCGCTGGGGTGGCTCCTACCGGGAGGAGAGCCAAGAGGGGCGGACGTTCCCAGTCCAGGTGGAGTGCGAGGACGGCGAGAGGTTCCTGGCAGATCACGTCATCGTCACAGTGCCTCTAGGTGAACCGCCTTGCGCCCCCCCCCCTTGCTCCCGAGCGCCTCACTCCCAGCTGTTCCCACCGTGGCCCCTCTCTGGTGAATCAGACACTGCCCCGTGGGCTGGCTTGGCCGGGCCCTGCCCTGCCAGGACTCGCTGGCCTGTCTGCTGCCCGCGGGAAGGGCAGCTCCCAGCTGTCTGACACCCCAGCTGTGGCATTGTCCGTCCTCCCAGACCGAGCCCCGGTGAAACCCTATTGTGGGGTGTTATGCCAGGGAGGAAGGAGCTCTGGTAATAACCCAGCCTCCCCTCCCCCACCAAGGGGTTCTGTGCAAGAGAAACCAAATTTCAGTGCATTGTAAAACAAGAGCACGAGACGGCTTTGATCAGTCCGACAGACCCCATTCCCCTCGCTCACCTGTCCCCTGGGATGCGCTTTGCTAGATCTCCTGGCCCCAGGGAGTCTTCAGGGCAGAGAAGACCCAAACCTCCAGTGTCAAAACCCAGGAGGAGAAAGACCCTTGGGTAGCATCTCTGTACCTCCTGAAGAAGCTGAGGGGCCCATGCCCAGCTGCGCAGAGAGTACAAGCTGGGCAGTGCGGCATTCCAGCACCCACGCCCGGAGGGGGTGGCAGGATAAATGGGGGCAGCCCTTGTGCACCCTGTGGGACTGAAGGAAAGGTCTTCCAGCTGGTCAGACTTGGGAGGCTTCCCATGGGGAGGGCTCGCCAGGAAGGGCACCCAGATCTCTGCCCTGATGCTGGGCGAACCCAATCGGTAATGCAGCAGCTGGTTCCTGCAGGGGGCGGACGTGGGAGCTCCACTGCATCCCCCAGTTCAGAGAACCAGTGTGCAGGGCCCCTGAGGACAGAGACGCGGCTGCACATCTCACCAAGGGCTCTGGAGACAGCCTCACCTTTGGAGGCCCCTTGATGGATTGTCCATCTTGGCCCAGTGGTTCCTACCATCCAGGCCTGCCCTTTCCCAGATGATCGCAGACACCAGCACTGAGTCGCAGTGGCCACAGCAAGGGCTTGTGCCCTGGACAATGAGGCGCCTGCAGATTCAGCGCCTGGGCACGTGTTGTGTCTGCTGCTTCAGCACCAGGGTGGATTTGATTTAAATCAAATTGATTTAAATCATGATTTAAATCACTAGTTAGGAAGACTCGGATTTAATCATGGATTTCTACATAAAAGTGCATTCTTGTTGGTTGTTACCAACCTGAAGATCCTGCATGTTCAGACATCTTCCTTTCATCATCTTCAGCGCAGATTCTCCTGAGAACGAACACTTCTCGTGATGTTTCATTGGGGCAGCCAGGCCTTGCATTTCTTTGTTTGCATTTTGCACGCATGCCTGTTTTACCCACAGGTAGAGGAACTTCATTAAAATATTCCCAAACTGGGTCTCTTTTACGGCCTGCTGCCAGTATAGGTTTTCCCTTCTTGTGGGAGAATGGTATGGTAGATCTCAAATCAATGAAGGCTACACTCAGAAAGACCTCGAGACTTCTGGAATATACTGCTCAAACAGTTTCACTTTTGTTTCTGTTGCCTGTCCCTCCCTTCTCACATTTATCTCCAGACTTCATCTCCTTGTCCAGATCTATTCTGCCCCCAACAATCTTCTATTCATTGAACTTTTAGAAACTTTGCACTTTTAGAGAGAGGTAAGGGATTGACTCTGTGTACACAAATTTGCGGAGGAACAATAGGGTTGCGGTCTGTTATTTCTCACCTCTATTTATTTATTTAAAAATATTTTTGCTGTTAACAAGCATGTTATCTCTGGAGAGACAAATCCAGTTTGAGAACTGCAAAACTAAGCATCTCTGATGGTATCTTCTAGACTGAACCCTGAGTCCCATTGGGTAGATAGAAAGATTAACCTAAATAATCTATACAGAAGCCCCTGGAACCCCATAAGACTGGATCCCTAATCCATGAACTATTGAAACTCATTTACAAAATTTTTCTTAATCATTACATGAATATATTGTCTCATACTATAGAATTAGAATTTATAATCCTTATTCCATGACGAGATGTCTTTGAGCTATAATGTATCTTAATTAAAACTATTTTTAGATAGTTTTTTTCCTCAAAAAGCATTTTATCAAAAAAATCCAATTTAAATAAAATCCATTAAAAATCGATTTTTTCTAAAAAAAAATCACTGATTTTTATCCACCCTGTTCAGCACCCACCAAACATGTGGCTCTGGGCTTTGCCAGCCACGCCCACCCTCGCCAGCTCTGTCCTGCTGCAGCAGGAGCACTGAGAGCCCCGCAGGAGCAGCTGAGCAGCGCAGGGATGGAGTTCTCCCAGCCAACGGCCCAGGACCAGAACTGACCCCCAGGAGCAATTGGATGGGTGTGGAGCTTGGCCAGGTCCCTCTGCCCTGACCTGGTCTCCTTGCAGCAACCGTACGCTCAGGCTGTGGATGAGGCCGAGACCTTGGTGCCGAGACCTTGGTGCCGAGACCTTGGCATCCATGCCATGCTCAGTTATACAGAGGCCTGGGTGGTTAATGACGAAGGACCCCGGGCTATCGCAGCATGTATCCAGAGCAGAGAAGTGGCCATGGCCGCTTCAAACAATGCTTGTGGCTTTTATAAAGAGCCAAGACTTAGAGCGTGCTGGGATGGCTGGTAAGGCTGCCAGGAGCAGTGTATGGGTCAATCTGCTCTCTGTAGCAGAGACCAAGGAGAGGGGCCAGCTCCCCTTTTGCAGTCTGTCTCAGTGTGCCGGTGCCCAGGTGAGGTGGAGCCCATCCAACAAGGGGCTTGGAGGCAGCTCTGTGAAGGGCACCATGAGGGGCAGGATCGCTGGCTGTGGCTGCTGCAGCAGTGCCAGGGACAGCAGCAGATTAACTTTCTCAGACCAAGCCCAGGAATTGACCCCGCTGCCAAGCTGGGTGTGATCTGAGCGAGGACAGATGGCTGTCAACCAGGATGTGCCAGTTCACCACATACTAGGGGAACTGAAACCCCGGTGGGCTTGGGAAGGTCAGGGGGTGGAGCACATGCTGCTCAGCGAGGGAGAGAGACAATGAGATGTCAGCCGTGCTGAGTGGCCCTTGGCAAGGGTGTGGAGCAGCTGCGTGAGAGCTGAGGGGACCTGCCGAGGAAGAGCAAGGGTGGTGGCCATGTTTGCTGCTCTGGGAGGAGTGCAGGAGGCTGGGATGTTTGGGTCCTGCCCACCCTGGCAGGGCCTCCAGGCAGTGCCTGCTGGCTGGTTAAGGGGAAAGCCTTGGTACTCGGAGCTGTTTAAAAGTGCTGTTTGTCGCCCGTTTCAGCCCAGCACTATAGAAGGAAGCTCTCCACACCCCAGCTGAGTGTGTGAAGGGCTGAGAATGCCCCATCCACATCTCAGCTAGCCAAGGAGTGCTCCCCCAAACCGAACACCCCTGCTATCTCTGCAGCAAAGAACCCCTTCCCTTAAAACTCTTTCTGCTTCTACCTGTCCTACAGGAGCAAAACATGGCCCAAGCCCATTGTCTCCCCGCTGGCAGGGCCCCGGATTGATGGCTTCCTGCCCCGCCCCCAGCCAAGCAGGGGCAGGACTAACTGCAGTCAGTCTGGGGATTAAATCTAGCCTGTCTGGCGTGGTCCTGCTCTCTCCCCTGGGTCAGATCCCTTCTCCAGCATTCAGGAGGCAGCAAAAACTTTTTGTCATTGTTCGGTTCTTGAAAAGAAGTCATCCAGGAGACTTGCAATGTCCAGTTCAGAGGTAGAGTTCTTATGAATGTGCAGAAATGCCAAGTGATTTAGACATTCTTGGCCCATTGTTGTTCGCAAATAATTTTTCAGTCTGCACGGGAAACTGAATGATCGCTCAGCGGTGCAGGTTGTAGTCGGAATTGCGTAGCACAATTTCAGGAGAGTTGTAACTTTTGACATGTCACTCAAGCCTTCATTTTGTTTCAGAAATTGCTTCACTTTGCTCACCGAATTAAGCTGGCAATTTCTCGATCTGCAAATATCACTCAACATTTCTAAATGAAGGGAGAGCCTCTCCGTGTTAATGTCACCATGGAAAGCTTCACTTATTGGGACACTGTCCCATTTCAAGCCATTTACTGCATCAGTTATATGCTTCTCCAATTTTACTGGGAATGTAAAGCTTTCCATTGAAAACCCCTGTTCAATGACAGCTTTGCAAGCATAAATGATCCTGACATATATTTGATGAAAATACTGTTTGGGGTCACTGAAAGTGTGAGGAAGGCTTCCTTGGTCAAGCCATCTTGGTGGCTTGTGTTTTCTCAGGAATGTGGGATCATCTAAATAAAGATTTCTTGCCTTCTCTCCTGTTGTTTCCCAGAAGTGACTGTATGATGAGTTGGTGCTCATCCCACTTGCACCTCTTGCAACAGGCCAACTTTCTTCATAACGCTTGCCAATGACATGTTTAGGTTTTGAATTTTTGCATTAACGTTTTCTACAGAACCCATGCATTTCACAAGAACTGTTAGTGTGAGGTGCGTTGAAAAAGATAGAAGTTGCTTCAAGAATCCACTGCATTTTGAGCCAAATTCATCTGAAGAGTGACTAAATTCATCCAGGCAGTTGATCATGGCCTCGTAGTTGTTGAACAGTGATTTAACGCTGCTGATCATTAGTGTCCATCTTGTTGGGCACAATGGTCGTAAAGAAGGCTCCTCTTCTCTCTGAATGCTGCGATATGCTTTGGTGACTCCCTGAAGGCATTGATGAGATCTTTCACCATTGAAAACATATCACGACATTCTGGATGCAGGGCATCCGGCGTAGCAGGGTTAAGGGAATGTGCAGCACAATGCACAAATTCCGCTCTTGATCCTTCACTGTGGCTTGGACCCCAGTAAATTTGCCAGACACATTACTGGCTCCATGGTAACACTGCCCCCGGCAATTGGAAAAGGGCAAATCACACCTGAGAAGCATATCTTCCACAATTTTGAAAAGAGAAGCAGCATCCATTGCGTCGGTTTGGTAAAACCCAATAAACACCTCATAAATCTCCCAGTCTTCGCTAGAAAAGAACCTTAAAGAAGAACTTACTCGTTCTTTTCTTGACAACTCAGCAGTCTCATCCATTACAATGGCGTAAACTTAAAAGCCTTTATCTTTTGCACAGTTTCTCTTAGCACCATCATTGCCATCATTTTGCTTATTTCGTTAATAACCTCATGTGACAGTCACTTGTATTTTGTGTGACTAGGCCACTGTCCCAGTTCCTCTGAATCTGTGCTGCGAAGCAACAAGGGCTGCATCAAATTTGAACCACTCTCATTAGGTCCACGTAATGCTATGCCTTGTTGAGGTAGGTACTGAACACTGTAAACAAATTTGTAGTTTATTCCTAGCTGCTTGTGATTCTTTTCTGTAACTGCTGACATTAGTGCAGAAACATTTACCTGTGATTGCAGAGCAGCCTGCTTCATTACTGCTTCCTTGTGAGAGGAGGATTTTTTGTGTGCTGTAAAACCAATCTTGAAAATAAACGTTGGTTCAGCCTTCAGACACAATATTAAGATCTTCTTTTCAGAACCTTTTTTTCTCTGTCTCATTTTTTATTGTACTCCAAGCACGTAAATCTTGATAGCCAAGATTGCTGAAAACTCCTGTTCTTATCTTGTCGTTTTGCCATCACTTGATGAATGACCCTTTTTTTCTTTTTCTCTGGGTAACTTTTATTAAGAATTTATCCATTGTTGATCATTATTACTGGTCTTACAAATCGAGAATTTGTTGCAGGCATAAAATGAAGCTACACACGCCGGGGCCACAAGATTGCGAGGGCCAATTAAAAGTGGAAAGTCAGCAGCAGCACTCGCCTGCTTCAATATGTTATATTTTGTGGTACGCTTACACAACCACTTATATACTTTATTTTAAGGAGTATAAAATAATCAAGGATTGGGCTAAACACTATCATCCCCCAAGACCGCCGAAGTTGCCTGTTTTTTCCCTCAGGCAGCCAAACAGTATCCGGACGCCTTTCAAATGAAGCCGGATCAGGGCCTTATTGGTAAGAGATGCAACAGTGCGGAGTGGGTGAATTCACGACACAGACTTTCAACCTTCTGCTTAGACAATGACGAAAATGACACCAGTCTGCAACACAGTCCCGCGTCATTGTCATCTTTGTGTTTGCAGACTGTTTGAAGCCTGCACGTTGCAAAAGCACCTTGATAATTTAGCCTGCTTTCACGACGCAGGGTTGCGCTACCTTAAGAAATAAGGTTAAGCGTGCCCTTCAAGTTGATGCTCAGTGGACAACTGTGAACAGAGATATTGTTCACGTCAAAATGTATGTAAAATATAAGCCCAAACATTGTTGGAGCTGGGCCCACATTCTTGAATAGTGGTGGAGCGCAGGCACCATGGGCCCATATAACTCACCGCCTATGTTCGTAGGGTTCCTTAAAGAGCATCATGAGACCTTTATTGACCCTCCGCTGCCACCCCGGAAAGCAGACGCCATTAGAAAGCTGGGCTTCGGGACGAACAACAAGATCTTCCTGGAGTTTGAGCAGCCGTTCTGGCCACCGGACTGCCAGCTGATCAAGGTTGTCTGGGAGGACGAGTCTCCTCTGATAGAGGCTGGGACTGACCTGCAGGCCGGCTGGTTCAGAAAACTTCCCTGCTTCGTAGTCCTCCAGCCACCGGAACAGTATGTGGGGGCCTGGGTTGGGGCATGGTAACTGGCGTCTGGGGGTGCTCTGGGTTAGAACAGATGGTACATTTCAGCTTATAAGAATGCCACACACCAGCCCCACTCTTCCCTGTCAGCATTGTGGCCTTTTCTCACTGGAGCCATCCAGCAAAGTCTACCCACTCAGCCCCTTGAGAACTGTCAGTACCCAGCTAAGTGGGCAGGATGCCAGGGGCCAAATACTGGGCAATGAATGTTACTGACCGGGCCTTGTAGAATTGATTCATCCATTCCAGTTTATGTAAAACCCTTGGTTCTTGCCCTTGTAGCAGCACAGAGAATTTTCTGAGTGTGGCCCAAGTGTAGCTGTTGCAGTGTTGCTTTCCTGAGTCTGCCGACAGGCAGCTCCAGTGCTGCTCAGAGCTCTGCCAAGCAGCAGAGTGCATCTGTAACCCTAAGAGCCCCTAACGCCCACTGGCATAGGTTACACTGTCTCCCATCAGACCTTCCAACTCACTCCACCCACCCCTCCGTTATCACAGTATTAATTCAAAGGGTTCTGTCACCCCTAAAAGCGTGAAAGCAGCTCTCTTGCCACCCTGAGTGTGCCCTGCTCCCAACAGAGTTCTGGCTCACAGCCATCCTTAAGTGTGCCAGTCTCTCTTCACTCAGCATATTTCCCCTGCTCCCAGCAGAGTCCAGGCCCACAGCTATTTCTTACCTGTACCAGTGACTCACCGCTCCTGGGAGTTTTGGGCCACAGCACCTGCCAGCAGTGCCTCAGTTTCCCTGCTGGTTGAAGCGCTGGCCTGCAGCTTTTCCACCATTCCCAGCAGTCGTCTTTGCTCTCAGCGGAGTTGTGTCCCCCAGCTATTTACGTAGCTGTACCAGTGTCCCCCCCCCATGCCTAGAAGATCCTCGCTCTGGAATGAAGCTGCTCACCTGTCTTTTCTTAGGTATGGGCACGTCCTCTGTGGCTTTATTGCTGGGAAGGAATCTGAGTACATGGAGACCCTCAGTGACGCTGAAGTTCTTACGGCCTTAACAGATGTAATCCGTAGACTAGCAGGTAACCCCCCTACTGGCCCACATGTGAACTCTTCGGTCCATTGGCCTGAGCTTTCAAAGGGACTAGTGATGTTGGGGCCTTGCTGCCTGGGGCCTCAGTTTGACTTGCCTTAAAGGGACCTGCTTTTCAACAAGTGCTGGGCACCCTCCCTCTGGAAATCAGGCCTCTCCCTGGTGCCTCCAGCTGAGGCCCCCCAAAGCACTAGCCTCTTTTGAAAATGGAGGCCATGAACCAGAAGCCGAGCGCTCCACGCCACCAGAGCCCCACCGTAGGAAGCGAGCCACCCACCATGTGGAGGAAGAGGTTGCCTGGGGCGATGGCGGCCGTTGAGATTCCAGCTTTGCTGCGTTAGTTGAAGTGTGAGGCCCCGCGTTGGTTCGCAGAGCTGACTGCGGAGGTAGGTGCCTGTAGGGTGTGGAACAGTGAGCTGGGCTCTTCAGCCGTGTCCCGGTTTGTAAATGATGCGTAAGCAGCTGGCATTATCCCCCTCCTCATCTGCTAGCACACTCTGGGTGGGATCCCAAATTACCCATGGCCCCTTGTTGTTCACTCTGAAGCCCTGTTATAATCCTGAACTGGAGCTAATGTGACTCACCTGGTCTGGTTGCTAGGGTGAGTTGCAGATCAGCTCGGCATGTCTGTGCAGGGTCCTAGCACCTGATGCTCTATGAATGCAGCTTGTGCTCTGAGATACAGGCCCCCTTGCCGGGTGTTCAGCTGCTGTGTTTGTGGTTCAGGGAACCCTCACCTCGCCCCACCGAAGAAGGTGCTGCGATCTCAGTGGCACAGCGCTCCGTATACCAGAGGCTCCTACAGTTACGTGGCCGTCGGCAGTTCAGGAAACGACATTGACGCACTGGCTCAACCCCTTCCCGAGGATGCAGCTGACCCCTGGGTAATGGGTTTGTTTTCATACCTGAGTACGGTAGCAAAGGAGTGCAGTGTTCCTTCTGCATGGCCTGTGGGGTGAACAACCGCAGTTGCCGTGCGGGGCTGGAGATGGGAATTAGCTCTCTTTGTTTGATTGTGACCGTCCTTTCTGATGTTTTCCCCCACCGTCTCTTGCTGCTCCCTCTGTTCTGACTGGTCAGGGCCCAGCTGCTGCATTGTCTCCCTCTGCTGCGGTTTGGAGCATTTCTCCCTGGTTGGCTGGCATAGCATGGGGCATTGCAACAGGCTTTGCCGCCCTGGAGAAATCTCCCCCCTTGCACTAGTGCAGCCGGAGCTCTGGTAGGGCTAATGTGGGGATGGATGACACACCAGATGCTGGCATTTGTCAACTGTGAGCAGGGCTAGATGTGCTGATTGGGCAAAAACGCCCAATCCCTGCTGCAGCACAGCACGAGAATAGTGGCTGCAGCATTGGCGCATGTGCCAAGGAAAATGGGAAGGGCAGCTTGGCATTGAAATACCCAGGGAATCCACTGCTTAACAAAGCCCCATTCATCAAGAGCTAAACTAGGATGTGGGCTCTGGGCCTCCCCCAGCCATAATGAACCTACAGGGCATGGGTATATTGCAGCAAAGCCCATGTGGACGGTTCAACAAAATGCCATAGGCACCATGACCCTGGGCAGGTCACTGGGACATTTGCTGTACCCAGCGTGGGAAGTGCCATGGGAGGTGTGGTATATGTAGTGCTGTGCACGTACAAAGCTGTGGCTGCAGTGGGGATCACCCTGGTAGTCCCCCTCCCTGGTTCTGTGTGCGTGACACGTCCTGTGGGAAGCTGGATGATGATCCCTGAAAGGGGCACGCAGCCACCTTTCCGCGTGAGTCTAAGAACAGCGTGATTAACCTTGCGAGTGCTGTTCTGTGCTCACGCCTGCTTCTGCCCTTCCCATTGCAGCCGCTGCAGGTTCTCTTTGCCGGAGAAGCCACGCACCGGACTTTCTACTCCACCACGCATGGGGCCCTTTTGTCAGGCTGGCGGGAGGCCGACCGTCTGCTCAGCCTGTATGACACGTCTGAATCCCACCAGCACAAGCCTCAGCTCTGATGCCGCTCGCTTCTCCCTGCTGCCGGGATGCGGAGGTCTCTGGTTTCCAGCTCATTCCTCAACCTCCAATTCCTTCTGTCCCCTGCTGTTGCCAAGGGAAAGGGGTTAGTTTGTGTCTAGCTGGCGTGCCCGCTCTTTGTGGCTTGTCTCTCTGATCTCCCTGCGATCAGACTAAAGGCTGGGTGGCTGTAGGCTTGACCCCAGCGCTGGGAGCTGCAGCACCCCCACGGATGAGGGTGACTAGGGAACTGAAATGCCACCTAACTATGCAATGGTGTGCTGTCAGTAGAAACAAGTAAATCTCTATCGTTAGGGCTTTGCGGTTGCAGCTTGTCTTCTTTGTCTGCTCCTGAGAGGAACATGGTAGCCAGGATGCTCCTGAGACAGGTGGCGTAAATGTGTGACTCACATGCCAGGCCACAAACCCCGGTCGCTCCTGAAACAGGTGGTGTAAACGTGTGACCCAAGCCCCGAACACTCCTGAGACAGCCGCTGTAAAGTTGTGACCCACAAGCCAGGTCACAAACCCCGAACACTCCTGAGACAGGCGGTGTAAATGTGTGACGCACAAGCCCCGGTGAAAGCAATGGGCAGAGTTCCGTTCTCTCCAGTGAGCCTTGACTTTAGCTCTGACCACATGTGACATTCTCACCGCTAGGGTGGGAGTCAGCCCATGGAAAAGGCCTGGTGGCCCCGTATCCAGTATGGGCCTGTGCCCAAGGTGTGGGGAAGATAGAACTGGGTGTTGTGCCCCTCAGCCTGCTCCATGGACACCAGGAGCAAGTCCAGGTAATACAGTCTGAGGGAAACCTAGGGGCAGCCACCTCTCTTGGGCCATAGCATGAGTTCTCCATTGTCTAGGACAGGGGTGACCAACCTGAGCCTGAGAAGGAGCCAGAATTTACCAATGAACATTACCGAAGAGCCACAGTAATACATCAGCAGCCCCCCATCCACTACCCCGCTTTAGCCCCCAGCACCTCCCACCCACTGGCAGCCCCACCAATCAGCACCTCCCCCTCCCTCCCCACTCCTTCCGCCCACCACAATCAGCTGTTTCACAGTGTGCAGGAGGCTCTGGTGGGGAGGAGCGAGGGCATGGCGGTCTCAGGGAAAGGGGTGGAGTGGTGGTAGGACCCGGGACAGAGCAGGGGGTTGAGCATTGAGCACCCCACAGCACACTGGAAAGATAGCATCTGTAGCTCCAGCCTCAGAGTCGGCGTCTTTGCAAGGAGCCGCATATTAACCTCTGAAGAGCCGCATGCGGCTCCGCAGCCACAGGTTGGCCACCCCCGGTCTAGGAGTTCGTTCACCCTGTCCCTGTGACTGTGCAGACAGGAGGGAGAGGAGCACTGGGCTCTTGTTGCTGGTGCCCAAAGGCCTGGAACATGCTGCTCCTGTTCAAAGCAGAGCAGTTCCTGGGGCCGAGCATCCCCTCCCTTTGCCAGCAGGAGATACCCCACGAATCTTACACACGTCCTGGAGTGTGAAAGAATAATTTGGCCTGAGCTTATCTGCTCCCTGGAAAGGGTTAGTGCCAGGTTAAACTTCCTCCAAACTCAGCTGGGCTGTTATCCACTCAAGCTGCCCAGATTTAAGCCACGTACAAGGCAGAAGCCATGGAGATGAGCTGCGGGAGCCAGGACAACAGCAGCTGAGGCTGTGGTGTACTCAGGCAGTGCTGCAGGGGTGGGAACAGCAGGGCCAATGATGATGCTAAGGTTATGGCATGGAGTGAAGGGTGGAGTTAGTAGGGGCAGACATGCAGCTGTGGGTGGAGACTCTTCTCACCCAGGAGAGCTGGTGTCCAGTGGCTTCAGTTTCCTTATCAGAAGAGGCATGGAAAGGGCAGTTTCTGCTTGTAGCCATTGGGACCCCCACAGCAACGTGACTGTGCAACGGGGGACTAGGAACACAAACACACACACACACCCAGCACTCTGCTGAGCTAGAGGAGTCAGCCCAGCCCTTGGAAGAGACAGGTGGATTTAGCACCAAAGCCCAAGGAGTTGTTGACAAGAATGGCAACGTAGGAGGCATAGGTGGTGGGGGCAGAACTGAACTACAGGAGGGGGTAGGGGCTCATTTTCTATCCTCCCAGGCTGCTGGCCTGAAGATCCTAGAGCACTGAGAGATAGCAGGGAAAGGAGGAGATTGTAGGCGTGAGGAGCGGGGAAGAGAATCCATTGGGACAATCTAGGACAAAAGGAGGGAGGCCCGCCCTGGACACTTGGCAAAAGGAAGGAGGGAGGATCTGAAATCAGCATGGGGTGGTGGTAAGGAAAGGAGCAGACAGCCTTGATGTGGGGTACTGTCCTGTCTACAATGACACTGGGAACAATTCCATTTCACAGCCATCACCCTGCTCTTGAGCCAGAAACCCTAATGCCCTTCTGTTCCCCTCCCAAAGCACCATCTGCTGGTCACACTGAACTGCCAGCTGCTGTGCAACGTCCCAAGCAGGACAGACTCGTTGGAGGATTTGCTACAGGAAGCTGCCCAGGCAGTAAATCACTGCAGAGGAGTGTCCCATCTACCGTGCTATCAGGACCAAGGTTCAGCCTGCTACGAAGACAGCCTCTGCAGCCAGCAGCCAAGCTGCTGTGAAGTGAAACTGCACCTGTTGGGGCTGGAACACAACAGACCCAGTGGGGCTGTCGCCTGTAACTTAGAAATGAGCTCAAGCAATGCCCCCCACACTCAGAGATAAAGGAGGGGGGAATGAGGTGTCAACAGCACCCCTTAGCCTTCTCCCAGCAGCCTTGGCACCACACAGAGTTGCATGTTTCAGGCAAGTACTCTGAGCCCCAGCCCTTATTCTTAGAAAACTAATACATTGCCATTCTGTCAGTTGAATAAAGTGCCACCCTCCCCTCCTTCTGCCCAACGGGAAGATAGAGACTTCTTAGACCAGAGGTTCTCACCCTGCGGGTGCAGAATGTATTCTGGGGAGCACAAGAAGCTTTAGGGGAAAAAACCCACACTTTACACATTCAGAGCTGGGCAGTCACAGAGCGGTGGCTGCTATGCGGCACTCAGAGTTGGGGGCTGTAAACTAGTACGGACACAAAGAAGGGAGGTGTGACCAAATAAGTTTGAGAACCATTTACACCGCTAATTTCAGACCTATAGCACAAGTTCAGATCTGACATGCACTTAAACCCCCGTAGACCAAGTCTGGTTAGATCTGAACACATGAAGCCCAGTGCTGTTCCCCGCTAAGCGAGTGCAAACTCTAAGAAACCTACTGTAATGAAGTGGTGAGTCACATTTCGACCCTGTGGCAATTCCCTGTCATGTGAGAGTCTATGTATTTTTTCTGGCTGGAGGAATCTTACCACATACCTCTGTACGTTCCCCTGCGTACATGGCATTGGCCACATTGAAGGAGGTCTGCATGCTGGTTATTTCATTCTTTTCACACTTCTAGCAAAAGGACAAATGTTGCCTAAAGGCAATTATTTTACTCAGCATTTCAGGAAGTGAGCAGCAAAAATGATGATAGAGGCAGCCCCAACTTCTCCAACTAAGGCTATACAATGGTTTCTGTTTCACACCGCTTCCAGTCACTCACGGGTCTGCAAACCTCATGCAGTTTGGGCTCCTGCTATTCACACTGCTTTCTGGCAGAAGACAGTATTAAAAAAGGTTTCAGCTGCCTTGAAGTATTAGAGCCGTGGGAGAGGGAATACAGTCACCATTATTAAAAATACCTGGCCTAATGTGTTCAACAACTCTGTAGCTCAACTGGGTAGGGTGGGGGGTTGGAAGGTGAATTTTGGTAAAGCAATATCTTCTGTGGGGGAGAAGCACCAATCCAGCAAAAAGTGGATTTGATTCTGAAAACTGTAAGCTATGCAGTCAGCACAGCGTGCTCTGTTAGCGTACAAAGCACAAGAAGGCAGGACACGTGTGCAGGGGGGAGAGAGGGGATATGGCCCCTTGGGAAGGAAAGTTTCTGTGGGTGAGGGGAGAGAGTAAAGCCCCATGGTTACGGCCAGGGTCGCTGTCCTGGTGATTTGGGGATATCAGCGTGAAGGCTGGTAGAACTGGGAGCTTAGTAGCAGGAGAGAAGAGCAGGAACTCAGCAGCTTTGACCCTGGCTCTTTATTCAAAGCATCAGATGCAGCAGTATGCAGGATGTCATCTTCAAGGGGGATAGTGACACAGGTGCTCCTGGGGACGACATGGAGCCCATCTGTATCCCTGGGTGCCTGGCACACCGGGGTCTGGGACTTGCCCTCCAGATGCCGTGGCGCTGGACAGCTCTAGTACCAGTTGGTGCATGCGATCTGGTATCGCACGTCATCCAGCAGCACGGGCGTTTCCTCAGCTGGCTTGGGGGATATTGTTTCAGACGGAGTGGGGGGAGCGGCCTTGGCAGGGGGGCTTGGGCCTGGCACAGGTGGTGATGCCATGGCAGGGGGCGCCACGGGGGGAGCGGCCCTGGGAGGGGGGGCTTAGGCCTGGCCCAGGGGGCGCTACCCCGGCGAGGGGAGCTGCAGGGGCTGCTGTCCCAGCGGGGGGGGGATGTCCCCGGCAGGCCAGGGGCCGAGTCCGTGCTCCTTGTGCCGCACCCGGGCTGCCTCTCACGCTGCGGCTCTGCCATCGCTGCCTGGGGAGAGAGACAGAGAGAGAGTGTGCCGCGGGAGCAGCGGTCCGGACCCTGCCTTGCCCCGCTACCACCCCCGGCGCCAGCCCACCCGCAGTACTGGCCCCGGTTCCAGCCCGCCCGGCCCTGGCCGCCGGAACCGGCTGCCCTCGCCCTGCCCACCGGAAACAGCCCGTCCCCCGGTACCAGCCCGCCCGGCCCCTCCAGGTCACGGAACTGCAGCGCCCGCGCCGCCGTCTCACCTTCGGCCGCTTCCGGCAACACACGCGCAGCCACCATTGCCCCGCCCCCCGACAAAGCCCCGCCCTAATAGCGTATGCGCGCCAACCCCCCCCCCACACACACATACAAAGCCCCGCCCCTAACATCTGCGTCACATAGCCGGGCCCCCAATGGGGTCACACCACAGCGCGGGCCCCCAGCGTTCGGGCAGGGGCGGGGCAAGATGCGCCTATGACGGGGCGCTGATCTGGTCGTGACGTCTTGGCTCCTCCCGTTACTCCCGGCCCGGCTGAGCGGTCTGGGGGCGGGCTCTGTGAGCGGCCGGAACCGGAAGCTGGCTGGAGGGGGGAGTTGCGGCCTGCGCGCTCCGGGTCGCTCCCAGTGGCGGCTGGTGGGTTCCGGCGGCGGGATGCGGCTGGCGGCGGGCGCGCTGCGGGCCTGGCGGGAGCGCTTCGATTTCGGCGGCCGGGACGTGGCCGCCTGGTTCCCCGGGCACATGGCCAAAGGTGCGGGGCTGGGCTCCGGCGCTCTGCCCCGGGGGGCCCCGGGCGGCCCCGGGCCGGCTCAGGGATTTGCCACAGGAACCGTGTCATCTGCCGGCTTATTGTGACGTGGGGCTCGCTTGTTCTCCCAGCGCCCGGCGGGGGGTGGGGGAGCCGCCTCTGTGCCCGCTGCGGAGCCTGCCGCGCCCCGCCTCCGCAGCGTACGCGGGAGCCCGTCCCAGCCCCGAGCAGCGGGTTTGAGTCCGGGGGGGGGGGGGGAGACCCGATGTGATCGGTCCGCGGGGGGGTCTCGTCGCTCTCCAGGGACTAAACGTGCCCGCGGGGCGGGGCGGGGCGGGGCTTGCCGGGCTGCGGGGGGACCAGACTTGCTGCATTTCAAAGGCGGTAGCCGTGTCCTTCCCGGCTCTCGCGATATTTGGGGTCCCGCTGGAAGTCCCGGCTCCTGCAGGCGCCTTATTATGGCCAGGCAGGCTCAGGCCAGGCCTGCGGGGCATCTGCCCGGGGCCTGGCCCGAGCTGCGGGCAGCACTGGCGGGGCTGAGCCAGTCCCTTCCCCTGGCGGCCAGGCTTGGTGGGCACAGCTGACCTGGCTCCACTTCGGCAGGCCTGCGGCGGATGAAGGAGAGGCTGCGCAAGGTGGACTGCCTTATCGAGGTGCACGATGCCCGAATATCCTTCAGTGGCTGGAGCAGGTGGCCTGGCTGCAGCCCTGCCCCCTGGGCAGCACCTTGTGTAGCCCCTGGGCTGCAATGTCCTCCCAAAGCCGGTCCCCATTGCACTGCACTGCAATGTCCTCACTTCGGTCCCCACTGTCTCCCTCCCTGAAATATTTGTTCAATATCTTCATTAATGACCTGGAGGATGGCATGGATTGCACCCTCAGCAAGTTTGCAGATGACACTAAACTGGGAGGAGTAGTAGATATGCTGGAAGGTAGGGATAGGGTACAGAGGGACCTAGACAGATTAGAGGATTGGGCCAAAAGAAATCTGATGCAGTTCAACAAGGACAAGTGCAGAGTCCTGCACTTAGGACGGGAGAATCCCGTGCACCCATGCTGGGACTGAACAGCTCGGCAGCAGTTCTGCAGAAAAGGACCTAGGGATTACAGTGGACAAGAAGCTGGATATGAGTCAACAGTGTGCCCTCGTTGCCAAGAAGGCTAATGGCATTTTGGGCTGTATAAGTAGGAGTATTGCCAGCAGATCAAGGGATGTGATCATTCCCCTCTATTCAGCATTGGTGAGGCCTCATCTGGAGTACTGTGTCCAGTTTTGGGCCCCACACAAGAAGGATGTGGAAAAATTGGAAAGAGTCCAGCGGAGAGCAACAAAAATGATTAGGGGGCTGGAGCACATGACTTATGAGGAGAGGCTGAGGGAACTGGGATTGTTTAGTCTGCAGAAGAGAAGAATGAGGGGGGATTTGATAGCTGCTTCTAACTACCTGAAAGGGAGGGGGTTCCAAAGAGGATGGATCTAGACTTCTCTGTCTTACCAGATGACAGAATGAGGCATAATGGTCTCAAGTTGCAGTGGGGGAGGTTTAGGTTGGATATTAGGAAAAACTTTTTCAGTAGGAGGGTGGCGAAGCACTGGAATGGGTTACCTAGGGAGGTGGTGGAATCTCCTTCCTGTGAGGTTTTTTAGGTCAGGCTTGACAAAGCCCTGGCTGGGATGATTTGGTTGGGGCTTGGTCCTGCTTCGAGCAGGGGTTTGGACTAGATGACCTCCTGAGGTCCCTTCCAACCCTGATAGTCTATGATTCTTGCAGTGGCACGGTGTGCTGACAGGGCTGCAGGAGCCTGCCTTGTGAGTTTGAGAGGTGAGAGTTTGTTTCCGATGGGGCAGAGTTCTGCAGGCTGGGCCCTTTCCCGTCACTGTGGGTATCTCAGTTGTTTGGCTTTCTTAACGGTGGCACATCCCATTCTCGGGCCGGAACCCAGCCTTCCAGGAAGCCCTGGGAATCAGACCTCATCTGCTTGTACTGAACAAAATGGACCTGGCTGATCTGACTCACAAAGCAGTAAGAACCGAGTTTAAAGTCTTTCTCCTCCCACTCTTCACAACCATCCTCCCGTTTAATTCACTGATGCAACTTCTTGTAATCTAAAGTAAATGTTTGGGCTGAGGCCAGGTCTACATTGCAATCGTACAGTGGTATAACTATGTGGCTCAGGCATGAAAAATCCACACCCTGAGCAACACAGTCATACAGACCTAACCCCCTTTGCACACAGCTCTATGTCGATAGGAGGGCTTCTCCCGTTGGTTTAGCTAGTGCGCCTCACAGCGGTGGGTTAGTTATGCCGGTGGGAGAAGCTCCCCTGTTTGCATAGTAGCGTCTTCACTAAAGCGCTGCAGCGTTTTAAGTATAGACCTGCCCTGATGGTACTAACCACATGGCACCTCCGAGCAGGGCAGCAGGTTTTCTGGAGTTATCATAGGCAATGCCCATCAGTTACAAGGAGCCTTGTGCAGTTGTATTTCCTGTTATCACAGGAGAATTGGGGTTTCTATTGAGAGCGTGGTCCGGTCAAGCTGCTGGCAGGGGAGGCCCTGGCACCAGTCCACGGGTCCATGGATCCGTTGTATAAATGCAGATGGAATCTATAGGCCAAATGTGTTAACAGAACCCAACGTTAAACAGTGTTAAACAAGGTTCAGAGTTTGGTATACAGAGGCCTCAGCTTAGTGCCATGGCAAATACACCATGAAACATTCTTTTAATAAAGATCCAGAAGAAAAGAAAAAATAGTTGAAGTGTTTGAAATTGGGAGGTATTAAGTATGGCTTTCAGTTCATCAACATCCCTTGTTCCCTCTTCCTTTAGTCCTCCATCTCCCAGCGCTAGGCTGCGGATGCAGGATGCGGCCAGCAGTCCATCAAGATGGCACTAAGGAGATCCAACACCCCCGACTGTCAAACAGGCCACGTCTTTACAGGGCCTGAGCCAGCTGCAGCTCTTTACAGAGACCGTCCAGCTAGGGGCCCCCAGCCACACAGTGGGTGCAGTGTGGGAGATAGGTTCCCCATGGGCGTCTCCTTCACCCAGCTGGCAGTAATCCCCACTGGTGGTACCTGGCTGTTCAGTGACCTGTGTGGGGCATCCTTGCTGCTGGCTTGATCTGCCACTAGCTCCATGTTTGAACCATCCCTTTGCACACTGTCTTCTCGGCAGTCTAGCAGTGAGGCTAAGGCCAGAGAGCTGCCCTCCGGGCCAGGGTAGCAGCACCATGGGGCTGGGGTCCTTGTGTGGCAGAGGCAGTGGAATTGTCATTGTTGTCATATACCCCTTGTCCTCACTTGGCTGAACGATCCTGGATTCAGCCTGCAGTCTCCATTGTAGATAGCATGGCCATGTAACGCTCCCTGGTCCTCACCGCATCCCTGTGAGCTATGGTGTGTTGGCTGAGTGTTGTCATCCCCATTCTACTGATAGAGAAAGGGAGGCATAGAGCAGGGGGGGCACCCACAGGAGCCTGTCTGCTTTTCTGAGCTGGCCAGCATTCATGGTTTCCAGACAGGTAGTGGGGAGCTGAACAGATGTTTGTGTTTTAGCATTGTGTCTTCTCTGCAAATGGTAACTCAGAGCAGATGGCTACAGCACACTTCACCCCAGTTAGCTCCAGCCTGAGCAACCTCACCGTCATTTTGCCCTGTGTGACTGGGGCAAGTGGTCACCGTGGGCCACTGCATTCTCTAACATGGAAATCTCTCTCATTTCTTGCTAGAGAATTCTGACGCGCTTGGAGCAGGAAGGGCTCAAAAACATCCTCTTCACAAACTGCGTGAAAGATGAAAATGTCAAGAAGGTAACAGCCCCTGTCTCTTCTAACAGCAATTCCTTTCGGTGTGTGTCCGCTCTACAATGTGACTGCTTGGAGCTGAGGGCAAGCTGCGCTGCGCTCAGCTGTTCAGCACCCCGGGCGCCTCAGTGAGATCAGGTCCCATTAGTGACTGCCCTACGTTTTTACTACAGGATTCCGCTTTAGCTGATGCCACCTCGGAATTGTTGGCTTCAGATCTAAGAGCCCAGCTTGAATCTCTCAGCCCAGGGGAGTTTGTGGTGCTGGCAATTAGAAAGAGCATCTCTTTACTCGTACATTGAGTGCACCTTCCCCTGGGCTTGCTGAGAGACCACTAGGCAGCACTGCCTGCTGGCATCAGTACAGCGTGCTTTTCTGAGCAGTGCCCTAGTGGTGGGCATGGCCGTTGCAGTACATGCAGAAGTAGGATCTGAGCACTCGTACCAGGGACATCGGGGTCAAGGTTTGATTCTTTTAAATGTTGTTAAAATGACACTAATGCTCATGCAGCCACATCTGTGGCCAAACGCTTCTCTCAGACCTGCAGGGGAGTCCTCAGCTCCCATATTCTGCCCTGCCAGTGGAAGATCTGTGCATGCAGAAGGAGCTCGGTATCAGTTGGCATCCACCCTTTGGAGGGCAGAGGAGAGTCTGCCTTTTATGTGGAACAAAACCACCCAAGTGTGAACATCCCCTGCTTTGCATGCATTAAAGCTGTGCATTAGTTGTTCTCTGAACACACCTGGAAGTGAAAGCTGGCTAGGAAGGGCTCACCC